TAAATTAACCTGATTACATTAAAATGTTTTCTAAGATAATATTGAAAAAAAAAACTAAATATTAACAATTTAATGTGATATTTTTTTCCTACGATAATATTTGTTTATGATAGATGTAATGCAACATCTGAATTTGAAATGATTACAGATTGATTAACCCCAGTTGCTATCTCCCGTACTTGGAAAAAAAAAAATATTTGTGAAAGAGTGGTATTCCAATTATGAAAGCTTTTATTATTATTAGTTGATAAAGGAGATTTTTGTGTCCAAAAAAGTACATTCTGATGAAGAAATCAGACCCTACCAACAAGATGCTCCATCCACATTCTAAGGTGGTGTCACTGTGAGATCTACCTAGTTGCCCCTCTCACCTTTATAATGTGTTAGTGTTTCCAACATTCAAATTCACCACCCTCATTCCTCTTCCACCTTAATTTCTTCCTTTATCATCACTTGTTCAAATATATATATATATATATATATATATATATATATATATATATATATATATATATATATATATATAAAATAAGTTTGTGTAAGATACAACATTCTACAAACCTATTTATTTTTACTTTTTAAAAAAGTGAGTTACGTAATTGAATGTATTTTAAGATTGAACATGTTGTCACATATGATGAACACAAGCAAATTTGGGTTGGCAAACTTAAGGGTGATGAAATCTCCAAAAGAAAGATCATAACCCATGAGGAGGTGGGTCATGAAAGCATGCTATTCCCATTACTTTCCCTCTCTAAATAATAAGGTCAAAGGTGTGCAAGGATCGTCAAGAACATGGACTATTATTTTCCCAAGTAAGGTACACCTTCTTGCTTTAACTTGTTGTTTTTCCCAACTTTGGGTGGTGGTGATGGAAGGATAGTCCTTAGTGGGGATTTTGTAAGTGGGGTGGATCTTCAAGCTCTACTACTTTGCCTTTAAAAAATATATTTTTTCAATTTTTTATCACATGAAGTTATCATACAAGATAAATTGGGTTCTAATTCAATGTCTATCTTTTTTCTATAACAATCCAAATTTCTCCAACATTGAAAAAAAAAATGAAAAAAGAAGAAGCTTTAGGTGCATAATTGTATAGGTGAAAAGTGGTCACTAATTTGGTTTTGGAAAATGAAACTAGGGTTACATACATGAATTAGTTTAACTAAGATTGATGTAGATAATGTAATTGAAGTGACGTGAATTGAATGATGTTAATAAAGATTAAGAGTACATGCATTAAGAAGAAAGGAGTTATCACATATTTGAGACATGTTCTCTCAATTTCAAGTCTAGTCTTGTCTTCCATTTGATTCATATGTTTTACATCTTCAAAATTTTAAATAGATTATAACTATTGATTTTAAAGTTTAATAAATAATAAATAAATACGAAAAAATAAAAAATATATAAAAAGTTAAAAGACCAAATTATTAATATGCTCATTAAGTTTTAAAAAAACTAAATCATAAATAAATATATAGATATGATACAAAAATTCAAAGTCATAAATATATATATAAAATATTTTTTTATTTTAATATTTATAGCATTTGTAAATAATTATCTATTCTCAAGCCAACGTGGCTAGCTGTCATGTACTGTGCGCATGAGAATGGCAACAACTTTTCTTCCTTATAAACCCTAATTGGGTGGCCATGAAACATGGTTGTAAAAAAAAAAAAATAATAATAATAAATAGAATGCTCAAAATGGATTATTTCAAACCTTCCATCATAGACATCACAGAACAAAAATTTTGAATATCGAACTTAGAAATCATATAAGAATAATAGATATTAAAAAAGTTAATTAATAATTATGTAATTACTTTTAAAAAATGGTACCATTTTATCTTTTAATATCAATCATTTTAGATATGATCCAGTTATCTATATTTATTATTTTTATATTAATAAAGTGTTTTCATCTAAATAAATTTATACCCACAGAGAAAGAAAACATTTTTTTTATTGAAGTTGAGAGAATAAAAACATTAATAATCATTAGAATTAATTGTAAATGGTTAAAAAAAAGGCAAAAGTTATGGAAGATTTTTAAAATCTTATGATTTTTTTAAGTGTTCATATTTTACATTAAATTTGAATAATTCATGTATAATTTACATTTAATTACTTTTCTCACTTTCATAAAAAAAATAGCCTTCTCTCTCTCACACACATCTTATCATATATTAATTAAAAATATATTTAATAAAAATTAAATATGAAAATTAATGACATTTTATATTCTGAAATATTCTATTATTTTTCTTTCACCTTCATCTTCTTCCTCTTCATGCAACATCTTCCATCAAGTTGACAAATGTTAAGTACATGTTGGATCAAATTTTATAACTTTTGGGAAGGGTATTTTAAAAAAGATTGTTCTAACCAGTTAATCATATTTTATTTTTAAAAACTCACACTTTTCTTCGAAACACATGCAAATTACAAAACAAAAAACAGGAGAAGGAAACCACATGTAGGAAGCAACAACCATAATGAATGACAAGAGAGGTTAATCATTCACAAAAACAAAACAAAATAGGCCATGTCAAGTTTGGCCCCACTGTGTTACATAACTGGGAAGAAGACACAAGTTAAATTAAAATTAAAAAAAAAAAAACATAAACCTAATTTTAAGTAGTTAAACAGATAATTAAGGTATAAAATACGTTTATCCCTCTAATTATGGGTTAATAAATAGTTTTAATCATCTTGGTCCAAGCTTAATACCATATTTTCCATAAAGATCCATTCTTATCATTTTATAAACATGTAATTCTGTATGGAAATGGTTAAAAGTCGTATATCGTCTATCCCATTTTATGTAGTATAGTATAAAAATATCAGTTAGATTACTCTTGGTATTGTAAATTAGTTCTATGTTAAAACCTTAATATGATATTAGGATAAAAATACCATTTTGCCTTATTTGACAAGTTTTGTTGGAGGGGTCTTAGTCAAATTAGTTATAGGTCAAAAGTATCATTTTATCTTATTTAACAGACTTTGTTAGAGGAGACTTGGCCAAATTTGTTATAGGTTAAAAGTACTATTTATCTAATATAGAGTGAACATGTTAGAAGTCTCAAATTTGTTATAAGTCAAAAATTGGAAGAGATGTGTTAGAAGTGTTATAAGGTATAATTTAAATAGTTATTAGACTAATATTTATATTACCAATTTATTTTATATTAAAATCTTAGAAGAAAATGTTAAAACGGTTGATATATGAAAAAGAAAAATATGAGTAAGTTCTTATTTAATTTAATGATTATCTTTCATCCTTTCATAATTTTCAATGAATTTAACCAATGAGAAATAGTGTGTCGAGAAAGACTATGTTAAGAAGCTTAACCTCTCACGTAAATGGTGATATCATATCTAATCCTACAAGACATCAAGTGCTTTGGTTTGGTTCTGTTTGTCTCCTTGGTAGAATGAAATCTTGTTTTCAGACTTTCATCATGACAGTGTTGAAACATTCTGAGAATCATTTTTGTTTCACACATGAAAGCTAGCCATTGTTTGCGTCATAATAATCATTTGTGTATGTGGTTGAATTACTCTGTGCTTGTGCTTTGTTTCTAGCATATGCATCTTCTATGGTGGATAGTGAGTTAGCTATGATAATACATGGTGAGTTAGCCACATCAACTTCACCTATTGCAATGTTGTGATTTTTGAAACATCACCAATATTGCTCATGATTCCCATGCAAGACAATGAGATTAAACCGATTTTATAAGATTAAATTAGATATTTTTTGTTTTGTTCATAATATGATATAAAACCATCTCTAGTACGTTGAGATCAGTGAAAATCCTCTGATATGCCAGTTGAAGCTATCAGCATGCATGAAAATGGATCCAACAATGACCCATTTTTGTTCTTCGTGTCATGAAATTAATTTCCATGGTAATTTTGATCCTCACTTTCTTTCACCTCACCCCAATCAGCACTACTTGTATAGAAAATTGAGCATCAATATTGTGGAAATCTAATGGCCAAAGGGTCATATCAAAATTTTGATTAGTGCAGTAATGAAGACACCAGAGAAAGGTGAATTACTAAATCAAAATTAAGATACGTCAATTGGGTTAATCATAGCAGTAGATTATATCACATAATTTCAAATTACAATTTCTTACATTAGAGAATATTCTTTTATTCTTCCGAATATTAAAATAGCAGAAATCGAGATTATAATCTATTATAACAAGAAGAAAAATAACTAGTATGATAAAGAATAACATCTTTGGACTGTAATTACTTACCGAGTAGGAAGAAGAAAATAGAAATATATAATATTTAGAGTAAAAAAAGAGAAAAAAAAACAAAAAAAAAATTAATAAGTGCTTGAAATAAATTGAACCTCATTAAATCACGCAGAAGAAGATGAAGTGACGAAAAAGATGAACTAGTGAAGATGTTGGGGAAAAGTGGGAACGTGAAGAAGAAAAAGCAAGTTCAGAATGAACTCAACTTTTTTATCGTGTGAAATTTTTTTACGTTGATTCGAAATTTAACCAATTTATTAAATACTTATTATAATGAATAATTTTTTTTCAGTTTATTATTATTTTTTATTCGTCTCCATCATTATCAATTTTGATATATAAAGTGATATTCTTACAAATATAATTTTAAAATTTTATTAAAAAAATTAATATTTTAAAAATTACTGATTGCTCTGTTCATGTTGCATGGTGTAAATTCTGGCAGTGATGACGAAATTGCACATGAAAGTTCAGGAACTCAAAAAACTGATTTTTTTTTTATTATTTCTTTTTTTCAATAGATTGCATTACTTTCTGATCAATGACATATCGAACTACAATTCACCTTGATTATCAACAGCAATTGTGTTTACCATGCTTTGCATTCTAATAACAATCTTCCAAATCCTGCTATCCAAAAAAAATGTTGGGTTTTAGGAAGAAGAGAAATTATGTGTCATTTCTGTGAAGACCATGACCTGGCTGAAAATTTGTGTTACCCCTTTAATCTAAAGTTTGTATTAGCATCTTGTACAGTCTTAGCTGACAATGACAATAAGGAAGATTTTCCATCTTCATCTCCCCTGTTCATCCCCTGCCACAATGAAAACCCATGGAATGAGAATACGAGCACTTACTTATACAAGTTAATTTGATTTTGCCAACATGATTTTAACACCAATGCTATGTTAACAAAATGGTGTTTAACTCTGCCTTGGTTGATGTAACTAATAATAACAACTGTTACAAAGAGCAATGAGAACTTACACTCTTGAGATTCAACATTGTTTGGGGGATATTATGCAGGCCCACAAGTCCTCTGCTTGATGATTTAATTTCAATTTGTGTAGAGAAAAATGCTGAAACTGGACGATGATCAGAGAACTTGCTTTCACTACGAAAATAGTGAAGTTGCTCCACTCCTTTACCATACCATAGAATTCTATCACACCTACCCACATCAAATTAACTAGTCACCACTTGTTTAAATTTCTTTAATTATGCAGACAAATTCACTTAACAGTAATTTTACAGATTTAGTCTCTTTTCTTCATTAATACAATTTGAGTTATTGTATACATACCATGCTGGAGTTCTTTGTTTTTCTCCATATCTACTTGGGAGGCTACCACAGTATCTATTGGAAGTGGAGGATGAGTATTTATATGTGGGTGCAAATTCTATGTCACCTTCTTTCCAACCCTCAAACACTCCACCTTCTTCTAGTTCTTTCTGAAGCTGATCAAACTCTTGCAAAGCCTTCCAATCTTGCTTTGTGATCAAATGCCTAGCAAAATTGTCCTCCAAGTATAGCCTATAGTTGAGGTCCCCAAACCAGAATATTCGGCTGAATCATAAGTTAAATGCTACAAGGTTAGCAGCATAACATGTTGAGTTGCACATATAAACATTTAACTAAATTCATGTTTTGTTAAGGAGGAGTAGTGTTACTAGGTCTGTTTGAGTTGTAGGGGAATCAGAATCAGTTTTAATCAAAATAAAAAAACAGTGTACCTTAATTTTTACAGGGTGTAGAAAGAAATGGCCCACAGTAGTACATTTTTTGGGAGATTTTGAACATTATTGGTTCTGTACCTTATTTTTTTACACATTTTTTTCCTTTCACTTTCATTCCTAAACTGAACATACAACAAGAGTACAAAGTGACTTGACTTGTTTTAATGATGCAAGCTAAGAATTTTGTAGCATGTAGGAGGTGATCCTAACTGTGTTCCTCAATTTAATTAACATGACTCTGGCTACCTCACAAGCCATGTTTTTTAGTGGAGATAGACATCTAATAATTGAGAATGACCTGGTGTACAAAGATATGTCCCATTTTCCACTGTATCACACCTACAATTGTTAGCACATAGTGTGCTTTTTTTATCACAACTTTTACTCAGCAACTTCAGTTACCATTTAAAACAATATTCTCAATAATTGGATAGGTATTGAACAAAAACTCTAGGGTAGAATTAATTTTCAGGCTGGTCTTGTCTTAATTAGAAACCTTGAAGATTCTCCCATGCACCATTCAACACTTTTTTTTTTCTCATGCCCAATGATACAGTCCACTGGAAAAGACTTTTAGTCTGATTGAAAACAATTCAAATATTCTAACCAGTAGAAACAAAAACCAGTTTATTAATTAGTATCCTAAAAACAAAAGGTAAAAGTAACATTATAGATTTAATTACGTTGTTCATTATTTCACATGATTGATCATTTCCCTTCTATAAATTTGACATCCAATATTTAATAGAAATACTGATGTGACACTCTTCTGCATATTTATGTTGATACATTCATCTCAATAAGTTGAGGGATAAAATAAATTTCCTGAATGGATTAAAATAGGGAGGAAACAACTTCAAGTAAAGATAAGAAAAATGAATTAAAAGAAAATACTTTAGTAGTAAAATGTAAAGGAAAATGAAAAAAAGGAGTGATGCATGGTTAGAGACAAACTTACTCATGGCCCAAGATGGTTAGCGGATAATGATGGTCTTTTGTGGTCCTAGAAAAAGAGGTTCTCCTAAAAATCTCTGCTACTTGATGATTCCTTCTCCCTTCATCACCCTTCTTCTCACCAGATGCTAAGTGTGCTGCTACAAAACAAAAACTTGTCCCTTCAATTGACATGCTAACTGCCACTGATCCTTTGTTTCCCAAATAACCCATCACCCCACATGCCACTGAGCAAACTCTCACATTTGAGACACTGTACTTCCTCAACACCTCTTCCCTCAGCCATACACTTATGAAAACTCCAACCATCTTCTTGCTGGCCACTAGTGTGTACTTATCATTGTTGCTGTTGCCACCTTTGGTGTTTGGATTCTCCACATACTGGTAACTGTTGTCATCACATGATAACTGTGATGAAGAATTCTGCATTGGTGTCATCCAAGAGCATCCAAATTTGGCATTCAGTGTTTTTCCTATTAGCTGGTTCCAGCTTGTTGGCACAGCTGGATCCTCTGCCCCTATCACAGTTAAGGTCTTCAAAGGTACAATCTCTTGAAACCTAAACAAGATCAAAAAGCTTTCATCAAGGTACAATAATCAAGGAAAGTTCTAATCAAATACAACGTAGATTGAGGATTTTGTCTAAATAAATTAGGCCAATTTGTGAATTAACTAAACATATTAACATAATCAGAAGAGGGTATTACTTTTCTTAAGAAAGTTATTCAAATATGGAATTATACACATACCCAAGAACATATATATCTGCTGCATTCTTGAGATTCAACCACTCATCCAAGTCAACAGCCAAACTTCCTACAGGAGATCTGCCTGCAACATTCCAAGTACCAACGAAGATCCTGAAATATAAACGAACTATATATATATACATATGTCACAAACAAAAACCATTACATTAACATCTGAGTCAAATAGGAAGAACTATACTCACACGTACTGTTAATACTATCTAACAAGGCAGAAACCCACCCAGAAGATCAGTATACATATATATAGTACTTAATTGGCTTACCTTAGTTTATTTGTTGAAATGCATGGATCCAATTCCAATGACCGAGGCGAAAGATTGCCCTCATAATCATCATTTGCATCTTCTGCTCCATCTGAAATTAACACAGTGCATGCACCCCCTTGATTTTAATTCTAGTCTTTGAAAGCAGAAGAAGAGCTTAGATACATACACATAAGAAACACACACACACACAAACACACACACACACACACACACACACACATATATATATATATATATATATATATATATATATATATATATATATATATATGAACCTTGTATCTCGTTCAAACTGAATGATGATGGCCTATCTGCTTCCTTTTGCTTGCTATTGAACCAATTGCGTAGCCTTTGATACCTTCTTGACTTCTGATTCTCCACCTCCATGACAAGAAAGGAGGGCACCCTCGCTCTGAAAAATTTCTTTTACATACAAATTCAACTATAGTATGACAACATGATGTGATATGTGAAGGGTTATTGTGTTAATCGCCCATAGGCCTAAACCAACAAGATGACAAAGTTGGTGGCTTAAGAAGGGGTTAGGCTACTGATTTGATCGTTAAACACAAGAGAGGGAAAATTAACAAACCACAGAATGCAACAGTAGTATTTTATTTTTCTGAAGTCAAAACTCAAAAGCCAAGAGGGTAAGAAGGCTCATTTTCCGAGAGTTGAAGAGGGTGAGGGTAAAGGTGCATGATGCAATAAATGATCTGCATCGAAATGGAAGAAGAAGTTAGATATAGGCCTCACAAGGTTCCATCATTAGATTGATTATTAGAGCCCCGTTAGGTGGTGCTGGTCACGTATGTCTCATGGATATCTACGTGACATAGTTGTTGTTTCGTTATTATTGCATGTTAAGTCAAATAATTTCTGTATACCCCATAGCTAATGTTCCTAGTTCCTCCTACTGTTTGGATAATTGGACCATTGTTCATCGAACGAAGACTAGTAATATTATTGTTGTACTTAAATAAAGTCTCTTGCTTTTGCATTGTCTGTGACTGATACAGAGCTCTTCTTGCAGCATATGCTTACACAGCTACTTGTCCAGGTTGTTTGGTTATGCATCACAAATATTTAGTCTTTAATCGATATATATATATATATATATATATATATATATATCAAACTCTACGGATAAGGGAAATTCCGTGGTGGTTGTTGGAAGCTTCAACTCAAACTCTGTAACCTATTTTGAAAAAATTAAATAAAAAAATAAAACTTGGACTTTTTTTCTTACAATTAAAGCTTTGACTTATTCTAGCAATAATTTATTAAATTATATATTATAATTTTAAGTCTTCATTGGTAAATGCTCATGTTCTGTTTATTTTATACATTTTCTTAAATAACTAAACCACTATTTATTTTGACGGTTTTCTTTCCTCTTAATATTTTTACATTAATATTTTAAATTTTAAAACCTCAAGTTTAGCTGTTTAAATTTCTTAATTTACATGAAGCTTATTTTTAATCATAAATACTAATGATTTATACTTCTAAATTTACTTTACTTTTTCTTAAAATTAAGAAAAAAAATATTTTTAGTAATATAATATTTAAAAAGAAAACAAATTGAATAATGATCATTACATAGATGAATATTTTGCACAAATGTAAGTTAATCCAAATTTTAAAGAATTCAACTTTTTTTAATATGGAATAAATAGAGTGAAAAATTGATCATTTTACATCCTTACAAGTCAAAATAAAAATGTATAAAAAAAATTGAGAAATATGATTAAAAGTAAAAATTTACAGATTTTTCATGAAGTTTTACACAGAAGCTGTCTGATGGATGAGTTTCACGCTTTTTCTTTCCAAAGAACAATATATACAGCTGTAATCCATAGTAAGCAGAAAAATTAAAGTTTATACTTTTATATATATATATATATATATATATATATATATATATATATACTATTAAAATATAACAATTTATAATTAGATAATAATGTAAAAATAGTTAAAATATATAGAGAGCACCCATCAAATAAAAAAATCAATCAACTAATTAAATAATTGATTTAAATAAACCACAGAAGAAACTTATAAAAATGACAATGAATAACTGATAGTAAATATTTATCTAATTTAAATATAAAATTATAATTCGTAATGTATATTCTTGAAACTTTAACTCTCTTTTTTTCATAAAACCTTGACCTAAAAATATTATAAAACTGTTTTATTTTTAAATTTAAACCAATTATCATATTTAATGAGGCATATATAATTTATATATAGATAATTTTTGCAAGTTGAATGTTGAAATGTATGATGGGTCAATCCCCTCCTCACATCTTGTCCATACTGTTAGATTCCCATTCTCATGCATCACTATCATCATGTCATTTAATCACACACAATATTTTCATTCATAAAAGGATAGATTTTAGAGTGAAAAATAACTTATTTAAGGGAAAAAAAAAGAATTAAGATGATTTGAATTAAGGAAAATATGATAAAAAATATAAGAGAATGGATTGAAGTTTACATCGTCTATCTCATGTTATTTGTATGGTTTAAATATATGTTAGATTATTCCACATATTGTCAATTGGTATTATGTTGGAACCTAACATGACATTGAGTCAAAGTCTAATATTTTTCCAATTGTTGTCTTGGGTCAAAAAGTACCTTTACCTAGTTAGTAGACTTCGTTGGAGAGGTGTGTTGGATTAGTATGGTTTAAATACATGTTAGATTACTCCATATATTATCAATTAATTTTATGTTGAAACTTTAACTAAATAAAAAAAATTATGAAAATTTATGAGTGATTTGATTAATATAAATAATAATAAAATTCTTACGTGGGCCAAGGCCCAATTCATGAACAGAGCTTTCTTTAGGAAAGTGACCCTACTTTACAAGATTCAATGGCTGGTATTTATTTGTTCCTTGTTTTCTTGTGTGTAGAATTAATTTGTGGCATATGGAAAATCTCAATTTGCTTTCTTTATTTTCCTTTTCTTTTCCCTTTCATTTTATGTGTCTTTCATTTTCATTAGAGATTTTCACTACCATGTGACACTATCTTGCTCTACATGTAGATGTGTATTAGGGTTTAGGGTTAAAGCTTTCTTTTTTATTTGCTCTAAAATTTAAAAAGGTCTAACTTCAAACCAACCTAATAATAAACCGGCTAGATCAATATGTTGTTTCACATAGGATACTAATGTTAGCATATTTCATATATATAATTGAGAAATATACTATTACAATTAATATATTTTTTATAATAGATATTTTAGCATAAATAATATTATAAAAATATATAATATTATTCAAATTGAATATCCTCTTACATTCAATATTCAAAGAAGATTTTCTCTTGTGAGATATACTTACAAAAATATTTATTTAATTACAATATAATAGGAATAATGTGCTCACAAATCATAATACAAAATAATGTAGGACCACCAAAAAAGTGTTTTGGCAAAAGTAATTAGGGATATAAGAACTGAATCACCAAATATATGAGTTTAACATTTAAAAATTTAACCAAATTCTAATCACATTTAATAAAATAATATATTTATAATATAATAAGTATACAATAAATTTATTAATACTAATAAATTTTAAAAAATAAAAATAATAAAAATTACTGTCATATTAAATTATAAATATAAAATATATTAAAGAATATAATGTAGATAATTATTAAAATAAGATAAAAATATAATAAAATAATTATTATTTAAAGCTCATATAGATAAAAAAATTTAAATATATTAAATCTTTTATAAAACATTATATTAAAAAAAATTGATTTTTTTATCAAAATCGATTGGATTAACAATTCAACCATTTTTTTCAGTTTTATCTACTTTATTCTATTTTTTTCAGCTTTTAACACAATTTAATTAAAATTTGATTATTTAAAAATAATGGAACAATTCAAAATAATGAAGTTTATAATATTTAAGACCATTTATTCAATTCTATTAAATTATTAACAATTTAAGTAGTTGAAGAAGATAGAATGAATAATCTAACTAATATCAATGTAGGGGAAATTAACTAATAATGATAATGATAATGATAAGGAAAACTATTATTGATTATTTTATTGAAGTTTCAGGAAATTAGTTGTAAATACTACTAACATGGATATTTAAAATTATGAGGTAAGAAAAAAAAAGGTTAAAATTAGCAAAATTTAATGGGTTGAACCAAAACTCATGTTCATTTTGTCCAACAATTAACGTGTCTAGTTTGAGGAACATATGAAGTAATTTGGTGTTTATTTGTATTGTTTGATTTGTTTTTTAATAGTTTTTTTTTTTTTTTTTTTTTTTTTACTTTTACCCCTTTGAAATTTCTAATATAATCATTTCATTCATTGAAAATTATATAAAATGTCATAATTTTATGAGCCTTGCATTGCATCTTAGTGATTTGGCGTTTTCAATGATTTTTCTAATGATTTAAACAAATAACAAATAAGAATGTGTGAGAAGAAGTGTATTAAAAGCAATCTCAATGCTTTAAGCTTGCAAGTTTGGTTTATGAAGAGAGTGTTTCGATATTCAATGAATTACACTTGAATTTCAACACTTTGTGCGGAGCCACCTTAAAATAATCCAACATTTTCTTCTTGTTTAACAGGTTTCTATTCTGATCTTATAGTTCTTCAGAAATTTTATTCAATAATAGAGTGTGTAGAACGTGTTATCAGTATTCCTCTTACAAGATAAACTCACATTACACAGTAGAGGTAGAAAGTAAGAATTTATTGGGTCAAAGAAGAGGAATCATGCAAGAAGAGAGGAGTTATTGCAACACAAGGGTGGTGGAGACAAATTCAGAATCCTCACTCCTCATCAGACAAGACTTTGAAGGCAAGATATCACCCCATGAATAATTAGTTTCATGATAAAGAGGGACACACCCTCTTGGCTAAACTTGGTGGAGGAGCATAAAAGGCAGCAAAATGGGTTCTAGAAGAATTGTTTTTTTATTTGGATGGATTCCCCACCAAAATATCATTATACCCTAGAGCCCTTTGGAGAAGATGCAAAAGTGTCTCAAGAGTTATGGCTTAGACCCCTAATTTTTGCTTTTGTTTTTTTGTCTCTTCCTTGTATATCACATCACAAAACAAGTCCCAAAGGTGTTTGATAAAAATAATACTATAATATAAAGTGTTATTTCACTTATATGGTTTAGGATAAGAAATAGGGGAATGTCTGGAAATGTTTCTTTAGATCTTTGGAATTTTCTCTCACTGGTTGGCGACCATTGAGTTCTGAAGTCAGAATGTTAGAAGGAAAAGGAAAAAGAAAACATGAAATTGTTTTCCTCTACAAAAATTGAGAATAAGACACAGCAAAATGTTTCTTTCACGGTAATTTAGTGTTTCTCAACCTCTTTGTACTGATGAACATGAGGGTAGGAAAAATAAAAGAAAAAATTTGAGACAATCATTAATATTCTTGTACTGATTCAGACTTTTCAGTTTGGTACTCTTCTGCCACACAAGGCACTTTTGCAAGGAAAGAGATTCTTGTTATTGGTAGACACGTTAGGTTTAAAATATTGTTCAAGATTTCACAGCTTAAACAAATACATAGGGATTTGAGATGAATGCTCTTTTATTGGATAAAAAAGTGCTAATGGAAGTAGTTATGTAAGAAAAGGATAAGATTGTGTCTGAGATCAAAGCACAAATTGCTAATGTGTACAAGATTTAAAGTTTGTCGATTTTCGTGTATAGATAATTTCCACAAAGTCCTGAATTCAAATTTGTATAACAAAATCTGTTGTAAATGAACAATTTTTCATTACTGATGAGATTATCAGTCATAACTTGAAAAGAATCAGATCATGTGAACAAGAAGCCAGGAAATTGGATCAATCCAAACAATATTGCAGCAGTGAAGCACATCCTTGATCATTTAGAAGAAATAAAAATGATAATAATGAAACAAAAATTTTAGCTGTTTTTTTAGAACATAGCCTCAACAGCAAGACACTTCAATCTTGTGGAGTTTGAAATTTTCAGCTTGTTTGACATCAGAGATCAAATGCTGCCTAAACATGGCAATGAAAGCTTCCACTCTCTCATTCAACTCCTCCTTGGACAGCACCGGAACCTGCTCCTCTTCCTCCTCCTCAGCCTCTTCTGCTACTTCATTCTCAACATGTACATAAGTATTACTACTAGTACTAGTACTAGTACTACTCCAACTTTGCTTTATGTAGCAATCTTTTCCTTCTTCAATTTCTTGAGAGCTCCCACTCGGCCTCTTTATCTCTTTTTTGTCACTCCTCACTTCTTCCACACTGCTTTCACTTTCTGAACTGTGATCTAAGTTGGTTGGCCTCATAGACATGAATAGAATGGCTAACAAAATGACATTGAGGATGAGGAACACCCAAGCACGCCATTGCTCAACTAGAAAGTGCTTTAGACACACCATTAGGAGAAATGTACCTGCTGTGAACACTATAGTGTGTATGCTATCCTCCTTGTTGTGCTCTTCCTCCTTGGTTTCTCTCTTCATCTCCATATTGGCACACTTGTTTGTTTGGTTGGTTGGTTGGCTTGGTTTGAGTTGAGTTGAGTTGAGTTAGTTAGAGTCTTAGACCTTGCTATAAATCAGTAGGAGAAAGTGGCTCTTGTGCAAGAGGGAATGATACCCTTGTAGGCTATGTGGGGGACTGCATAACCACAATGAAGGGTAAAGTAGTATTTGCTATGATGGGGGGTTATCACAGCAAGATGTGAATGGTGTAAGGTGCTGAGGAGACAAGCAAACACATACGTACAAGAACTGCCACTTTGCCACTATGCTAAGGTCCTTGTGCTGATGATATCCTCATCCATCTTAGGAGTTTAGCTTTGTAAGTTAGCGTGTGTCTCGGATTGGCGTGCACACCAAATCATGCATATAGCCACTACCATTAACAGGCGATAGGCTCGTGACATTGGCACAGTGCTGTGTGCCACTCCAACTCCTTATTCAAAGTTCAAAGGCTTTCTTGGTCCCTCTACTTTCCTAATTCTGCATAACCAATCATCCATGCCTCTTCTTTGTTTTCTTGCAAAGATGATTTCGTCACTATGATGCCTGTATTATTATTGTTTAGTCCTTAAACTTTAACATCCAATTTTTAACAGAAATACTGATAACACTTTATGCAGGACATCTGTTAAGTTAAAGGATGAACAAAAATTGTAAAATTAAAATGGTGAGGATCATATGGAATGAAAATTTATGAAATTGGAAATTCAAGCCAAGTTGAACATATGTTGATTTCCATATCCAAGTTCCTATTGGTTGTGTTCTTTTTTAACAAAATCAGCAGGGTAAAATGGGCAGAATGATTGGAAGTAACAGGAGAAAAAGCACATAAAGAAGTGGGGATTTGGAATCTCTCTCTTACCAAAAATTGAATGACAAGGTGGAAGGCTTTTGGGAGAATAGGAGATAAAAGGGCACTAGAGTTACTGGTTGAAAGACAAAAAGGATTGAAAACGTGAAAGACCCTAAGCACGCTTGATATGCACATGTATCAGAGTGTCCCCACTTGTCGAATGATGTAAGCTCTTAACCTTGTATGTTTCTTCCTTTTTTGCTGGTCCTGCCAAAAGTGGCCAACCGTAGTACATATAGAATCTTTATAGGTCAGCAAATTCTCCCATGTAAATCATCATGTAGGATTTTGGAACCCTTCTATGGATCATCTCTGCTCTTGCCTATGGACCCTTGCTACTGGGCTTGGATTTTGTTGTCATATGGTGGGAATGGGAAAATCCATTTCCTGTTTATATTGTCAAGCATTCATAGAGTTTAATTTGAGAAAAACTTAGGAGTGTTAGTGTAAATTCATACACAAAAATATCAAATGTCATTTTCTTGTCAATATCTTGTCCAAACAATCCTATCTTCACCATTGGACGCTTTTAATCTAACCCTCAAGAAACACTTTAGATATCAAGAAAAAATTGATAAAACCTCGAATAAAATATAAAGGAATGGTCATTTATATGATTAATCACTTTCAATCCATCAAATTGAATTGTTTAAGTAAATCAATCAATTAGTTCAATAAAATACAATATTAATTCACCGAAGAAACTTGAGTCATAGACTCAATGTATTTAGTGAAATAAAAATAAGAACAAGGGAAATTAAAAGATGACCAAAGATAAAGAATCATGTCTCTAAAAATAACTTCGAAAAAAAAAAGGAAAAAAATCATACTTAAAACACTAAGATTTTAAGATAAAAACAAGAGTTTCACAGTTCCAAGAAACAATACTCTCAGTTCCACATCGAAATCTAAATTGAAACCCAAAATCAAGCCCTAAACTACAATGAAGTAGAAAAAAAAAATAAAAAAAAATAGAAAGACATTTTTATGAGCATCAAGGTTCTCGATCATACTTTTAGTAATTCTTTTAAGACTAGTTGCTCATTTTCTTCTTGATTCATGCATCAGAAAAGAAAATTATGAAGTCATTCATGGTAACACGGTGAAAGAAAAAATAGATTCACAACCCCCAAAAAATGTTATAAATTAATATTTTAACTCGTGGGGACTGTAGAATACTCTGATTTCATTTTTGGAATACAACTTGATCTGATGAATAATCAATCGGTACCAAGCTTCATTTATAGTTTTACAACATAGTTTAAGTTTATCAGATCACAAAACAATAGTAAAACTTTATCTTAAATACTCACTGAGATTTCCAATCTAAAAAGTTCAAGCTTCAGCAACTCCCAAGTTCAATCACCAGCATAGTGATGTTCTTGAGAAGCAGAAATGAGACAGTTACAGTCAGTATACGTTCTAATCTGCCAGCAATGAGACTCTCATTCATATAAAGTTCATAGTTTATGATGGGAAAATACAAAATAAATAATAATAATAATAATAATAACAAAAAATATCCTATTAACATATCCATATGCTATCAAGGGTGGCCATGAACATGGCTCAAGTGTTAAGATAGCTTGAATTGAGCACCAGTTAACAGACCTTGGTAATAGGGGATTTGAGCCTGCACTGTAGAAACAGCATGCTTTTCTACATGGATAGAAATGCAGAAATAATTTAAAAAATAAAAAACTAAAGTGCCTAGCTGTTTACAAAAACATTTTGATGTGCTCCGAGACTATGATAAAACCTTCAAAGTTCTGCTACAATCCTCGACCCTTAAAGCATCCATATTGATATCAATACCATTTTGCAGACAAAGATAGAAGCTGCATAAAGAACACAAATAAATCAGTCTGGAGCTTGAATACTTATTTCTTTATACAAGAAATCAACAATTGCAAGCAATTAGTATATTTCCATTTCCAAGTAACTTTCTATTACAATCTTATCTTAAAGCGTATCAAAATTCCTCTGTTTGCTGAATCTGGGGAAAAAATTCTTAAACGAGGAAGGCTAAAACATTATGCTAATCCTTCTAAGCATTAATGATCCACAACAGACTAGCAGATAACCCGTCATTTTGATTTAACCAAAATGTTCTTGGAACATAATTCACATTCAATTATCCTTGCTTTGCTCCTAATTCAATCAGCATAAGATGAAATCAGGAGTTAATCTACAAACCTGATGAGCAACCTGATCCAGGTGCTGGTTATCTGTAGAAGGTTCCTCTATCATGCAAGATTCTGGGGTTCTAATGCACTATATTGTTTGTTATCCACCCTCCTCTTCACTGTACTCCTCTTAGAATCAATGTTTTGGTGTGTGTTTCCCAAGGATTCTTTTCTTCTCTTCCTTTGGAATGTATACTTCAGAGGCTTACTGTCATCAACTTTACTGGGAGATCTATCTTTTTCTACAAAAGCTTTTGCATCTTTCATATCAGTATTTGTGGATGGAACATCAATAACCTCAACTTTCATATCAGAACTTGGACCCGTTAGATTCTGTGTAGCACTTTCTTCTGATTTCAATAAGTTGGTATCCTTGTCAATTGGCTTCTCAACAAGCTCAGTGGCCCCATGCACAGGTTCTACATTAGTCAACAGCGGCACTGACTTCATATTTGCATCATATTCATCTTCACAACATTTTGCATTATCACAGACAGATGAGCACTGCTTAAGAACAAATGATGGTTTACAACTTCTAAAAGCAGAAGATTTCATTCCTAGATGTCTATGTCTTCTCTTTCTTTTCCATTTGCTAATGGCACTAAGCTTAATAGAGGGTAGAGAGCAGGCATCTTTGCTCAATTTACAAGCAAGAATGCGACACCTGTGACAGGAAATTATCTTCCATTTTGGTATTTCAAGGAGCTTGACATGCTTCTTAATCTCCATTTTCTCAGTCGGTGCACTACATTTTGCAACTTGCACATCACTATCTTTAGCAATGACCCCGAGTTTTTTACCATAATGTTGATTGTCTACATCTTGCATGAGCAGCTTTTCGTCCAGCAAACTTCCTTCAAGTGCACGGATTCTCTGAGTAAATCCATTTCGGCAAAGTTCCGGTTTCATGTTTCTTTTGATGACAGAAGAAAGGTAAGAATCATGACCAGAAGAATCCTCCAAATTAGAGATGAGCAATTGCTCAGTTTGCTGTTTTGAATTACAGCAATTGTTATCTAAAATGTTCATAGCCAGTGATTTGTTTACCACATCACAGCTTGTTACACATTCAAGTTCTTTATGAGGAGGGGATATTGAAATCTCAGGTTTTACAGCCACAAAAGTAGCAACCTGCTTTACATTCTGCCCGTTCAAAGGCTGGACCTGGTTATTCCTTGTCTTTTCTAACACAAGATACACATGCTTCAATTCTGCCCTAAGATCTGTTACGACATCCTCAGCTTCACTCAATTGTGCTTCAAGCTCTTCAATTTTTCTTTGCTGCTGCAATGATGCCTTCTCTGCATCAGCTGTCTGTTAACAAAGAAAAAATTAGTTTATGGAAATGCGTGGTCTAAAAATACCACAACAAAGTGGGAATGCAACTACATCAGATAGTACTTCAAAAATCCAAGAAATATTTCATTGATGAGAAATCCAACTATAGCAACACCAAGAATTTGAGCCATGCAATAAACAAAATTTCCATCTAAGTATACATTTTAATAAGTTTGATTGTTATTCTTGTACAGATTCTGACGGGAATAACATAGTTTCTTGCCATGATTGACAACCCAAGATTGTGGAGAAATGTATGCCCGAGTCTTCCAATCATTTGAACTTCTAGGACTTTAGTTTATATAATGTATACTAATCATAGAAATTCTAAAAAATGACAAAAATTACTCAAAATTAATAACATTCATAATTAACAATAAAAAGTCACAAGTGTCTTAACAAAACTTAGAGGTACCAACAAAAGTTAAATAAAAGTCTTCTAGATAGAAATTATCAATCATCATCTTCTAAATTAAAGTCTTCTTTATCATTTCACTATTATTACATCTGTATGTAGATTTCATTTTTTAAATTTAAATTCCAAAAATAGCCTTTCATAGAAACTCCAATGTCTTTGTTTTGGGGGGATTTATTATCAACACATTATGTCACTATAGCACCTGTTATGGCCGCTATTTGGTCCACTACAGCCACTGCACTAATCCACTTTGCTACAGCGAGCAGGGCCTACTCTGCACCACTACACGCTATACTGACACTATAGCAGCTATTTAAAACCCTGATGAAAATTGTTATCTGAATTGGAATTACATGACAGATAGAAGGTGGTGAAGACTGGAAATGGTAAATCTTTAAAATATCAGTGGAGGAAAACTGAACTTGTTTTCATATATATTTTTTACTTATTTTTCCCAATATCTTCCACTCGGATTTAACCTAAATCAATACATTAACATTCCCCTCCCTGCTCCCCTGCCACACACACACACACATCTTAGTTTTCATAGATGATTACAAGGCAAATTAATAAAATTAAAAAAGGTAAACTATTCCCCTGTTAGCATTAGCACAGGAAATGCATAAGGTGGAAAGCAAAATCCTATATAATAAAGAGGAAGAACACTAAGCAGAGGATAAGATGTTAATAATGAGATGGAGTCAGATATATACACACACACACACACATGTATGACAATGTCCAAACAATCATTGGGAAATATCAAAGCATCCTACCAGAAACAAGATCAATGTTGACTTCAGAGAATAACAAAAAACAACTATTTCAGATTTTGTCAATTATAGACCAAAATGAAGGACACAATAAGAATGCAGCCAAGAGGTTTGATTTAACATATCACTTCATCCAGAAAATGATCCTTATACTACCAGCACGTCACATGTGATCCTACGGATTTTCCACTTCAGATTCTAAGATGAAACTCAGAGTAGGCAGACACTGGGTGGGGGTGAGGATCTAAGAAAAACATCACTCAACGGCCTAGGTGCTTGTTTGATTTGTCATCAAAATCACTTTTGCATCAAAAACAAATTCAAATAGTCGTTGATGAGTTTGACTACTCTGCCTTCCAAATAATTGACTCTACATTATATATTGATTCTGTGAGATTTGAATTGTTCTTGATTCTACTACACCACCATAATTTAGATGGTGTGTAACCCATAAAGTTATACTCATAATTACATTTCAAAAGTGAATCTACTTCACCATTCACACAAAATCAATTCTTATAAACTGACTTAAGGATCATCATTGCCAATTACAAGTCAAACCTATCAACATCAATTAAACTAAAGTCTAACCTAAGCAGATTCTTAAAACGGATAAGAAAATTTTCAATCATTATATTCATCAACAAGATGAACCATAAAAACACAAAAACCACCAAATAACCATAATAACTACATAAATTGGCACTGAGAATAAAACCTTAGCATCCATCATCTTCTTCAAACGCATTAACATATGAAGAGCATTTTCTTTGGCTGAAGTGAGCTCCTGCTGGAACATAACTGCTCTTCTTTCCGACACCATTACCCTACCTGCAGACTCCTTCACAGTATTCAGAATCACATCTGCATATGCCTTCTTCAAAGCCACCATTTCCTGCACAACCAAACACACCCTCCCTTACTAGAAGAACCGTAATTATCAAAACTCAGTGACATAAAATAAACACAAAACTTAGATATGATATCTTCTCTAATCAGAATTCGAATTTTTCATCCGTGTTACACTGAAATTCAATACAAAATCTTATCACCCAAATTTTCAAAGTAAAATCTTGATTTTGATGAGAGATCAAAGCTAAAAAACAGTTAAACTGACATCTACTATAAACTTTAATTAAGTAAATTGTCACCGTAAGTTTCAACTTAAACTATGAATGATCAGATAACAATACTTAAAACATTTAAGCTGAATTTGGTACAAAGTTTCATTTCATAAGCTGTCACTCTGTAAATTTCCAAGTCTAATAAGAGAACAACACCACCAAAAACCAAAAACAGTTAACGAACTATATCTAGGTTCTTTATATAAATCAAAACCATGAAGAACCAAAAATCAAAACTAACAACACGGCATTACAAATATCAAATTTTGAGGACATGGTGTATTTGAATAACCACAAATACATCAGAGTCATCGGATATGGCGCCAAAGGAGACGGAGATAACAATAAGTGACGGTGACGTTAGGTAGTTAGGTTAGTTTTTAAAATAAAAATCAAATTTTGAAGATAACCCAACTCACATGAGATTGACGATGTTGCATTGGAGTGGAGAAACAATAATGGGGGATGTGGAGAGGTTCCGTTTGTGAGGAGAGAGAAGATTTTCTCTCTCTTCCCTCCATTCCTGCAGCTTGAACAGTGAGAATGTGTTATTTATGGAGCAGTTATTGAAAAAATTGTTTACTTTTTATTTGAATTTATAATTTATCTTTGTTAAATAAACTTAACTGAAAGGAACACAATATTTCAGTTATTTTTGGGGGAAAAGTAATTCATTTTAATACTTTTATTTTTTTTAGAAAAAACATTAAAACTATAATTAATGTATTTATTTACATTCTATTTTTTGTTAAATTTATTGTATTTTTGAAATTGAATGTTTCAGGAAAAAAAGTCAATTATTTAAATTTGTTCTTAAAATGTTAGAGTTTTTTATGGAAAAAATAGTTTATAAACACAAAATTGTAAAGAAATTGAAAAAAAAAAGTTATTTTCTTAAATAAAAAATGTAATTAATGGTTATTTTTTAATAATGTTATTCTTTTCAATTTTAATACTTTTTTAAGTTGATTTTTTAATTTTATTTATAATTTTGATAATAAGTTATGAATAAAAATAAATTTTAAAATATTTAATATATGCGACAAGAATGTTACTTATTGATTATTAGATTAATTAATAGACAATCAATGAACAAGGGATCAATTGAATTATTTTTGTAAAAATATTTAATTTTTTAATTTCATTATTTATAATTAAAATAATGAAATTATTTTTAACCTTTCTTCCATTTTGTTTTCTAACAAAAAATATATATATATATATATATATATATATATATATTACTTTTTTTCTCTTTCTATTATAATTTACTTAATATAAATAAAATTATTTTTATTTATTTATTTTCTATTATATATGTTGACGTTTTGTGCCTCAATGTAATCCGAGAATTATTATATTAATAAAAAAAATAATCAACATAAAAATATAATAAAAAATTCCAAAATAAAAAAAGCTTACATAAAAAATTAAATTACCCTCCTAACAGAAAAAAATAATTAACACAAAAATATAACATAAAAATTTTAAAATCGAAAAAAATCAGTATCATTATTTAATCATAACATAAGAATATATCATTAAAATTTCAAAATAAAAAAATCATAACCATTATCTAATAAAGAATAATATCATATAAAAAAGTTTATATTACAAAGATGATTCTCTAATATCTTTTTTTTACTCCAAATATATTCACTCTTCCTAACAAGAATTTAAACTAAATTTTTCAATATTTTATTACAACCCAAAATACATTTACACTCTTAAAAACAAAAATTTAAATTAAATATCTCCATAACGTGAAGTCGAGAATTATTAATATGTTTATCACTTAATTTATCTTCATGAAGAGTTTTTTATTTTATTTATTTATTTATTTATTTATTTGTTTGTTTATTTATTATTATTATTATTATTATTATTATTATTATTATTATTATTATTATTATGAGAATGTAATTTTGTGTTTAAAAAAACAAATTTTTTGAAATTCAAAATGAAATTCTTAACTACACCTGTGCTTCATTTCTTTTACTTTTGTTTTATTGAATTCTACAATTAACATAATTATTTAAAGTGTCATAAATATTATTTAATTAATTTTCAACTCAAAGTTAATATTAAGACATTTTTTAACTCATAATTATTGTCTTTATCTTTCGCTTATATATCATAAATATTAATAACTTATAAAATAATTTTATTTATATTAAAAATTCTCTCTCATTTTTTAGAAATTTAAATTATATACAACAAAATAACATTCTTCTTCTGTTAACCAACTCATACAATATAATCAAACAATTTATCTTATAAAATCTCTTATAATATCGTTTAGAATATCGTGTGATATGTATTGATCATCGTAGACGAGAATGTTAAATAAATAATCATTATATATAATGAATTATTTACTTAAAATAAGACTTTAAATTTTCGTAGATTTAATTTATTGTATATTTATATTTACTAGTGATTGTCATTTAATAGTTGTATATCATATTAAAAACATTAGCCATATTCAAGAAATGTTCTTTTATAATTTCATTATTACAAATTTAAAAGTAGTAAAAATTAAATTAAATACGAAATACAAATATTCACAATTTTAAAAACAAATCATTTAATTGAATTACTATTCTAATATACAAAGTTTAAAATGGTAAAAAAATCAAATTAAAAAAATTGATATATTTTATATTTATTAGTTTTTTTACCTAATTTAAAAATATATTTATTTAAAGGGTTTTTTTAGTAATGTAGAGTTTTTTTTTAAATCATATCTCCCACTAATATTTATCTTAATAAAAAAATAATTGATATTTTTATACTAGATTTAATAAACTGGATAAATAACGTAATTGATTCGATATTTTTTGAGATATTAAGTATATAATCAATAAAATAAAAATAAGTATTTACTTTGATAATTATAAATATAAATTTTAAAACTGATTAATTTAAACTGAATCGGTACTTAATTGAATTAATACCGCTAACCAGAAACCGATGCAAACATCGCCGTTATTCGACTAGAGGCGGGAAAATCGCACGGTCCTGTTTTTGAGTATGCAAAAGTGGTCGTTGTTTTCACTTTTAAGGATTTTGTTTTTTTATTATTTTAAAATTGAAATGAAACCATTTTCTGTTTTTCTTGAACCTTTTCAAAATTCAAAATTTAAATTTGGAGAAAAGTGTTGAGGGTTGAGTGGGGGAACCAATCCATTACTTAAAAATGATTACTATTTATTTCACATGATTGTGTTTAAGGTAGGATGCAAATTATAGCAAATAATTTGAAGTCACGTTGCCTTTCAAAGGCTACTTCTGTCTTTTTATTACATTCTAAAGTATTAATTAGGTTTGTGTAACTAACCCTAAATAATAATGGAATTAAAAATCATCATCTTTAATAACTAATACTTCTTTTATTCCACTAATGAAGTCTATTATCATATTTTCAAAATTTTAAAATCTAAATTCATCAATATATTTTGAAATATAATTTTTTCTATTTATTTTCTTCTTCTTTTTCTATCTATAATTAACGTGATTTGATCTAGGTTTTTTTTTTAAATGTTTACTTAAAAGTGAAACTTTCTTTTAGTACAAACTTTAGTTAGTCCTTAATATACAAAAAATTTGATTTTGACCGAAATTCAGATAAGTAAAAATAAAAATAACTTTTATATTTCAAATTCATCTTTTATTCTATATACACATTTATATATCATCATTAAAATATATATAAACTAATAAATTGTATCTTAATGGTAATATATAAAAATCTATCTGAATCGAAAAACAAATATAAAAAAACAGATTCTTATCATAAATTGAGATATAATGAATTACTATATGCATAAACATTTCAATTAGATTGAAACCTTCATGTACACCAACAATCTGTATCATGCCAAAAATTACTTTCAAAATCAGAATTTTTTTTTCAAGAATTATTTATTTATTTATTAATACTTAAGAACTAATTTAAAAAAAAAAAAAACATTTTCAAGGATGAAAAAATCATTCAGCCCTTTATTTTTCCATTGGGCATATTGTATAAATTATCAGACTGAAACTCTAACTAGAAACAGTACAAAAAAGTACCTAAAAAACTGTGTTTATGTTTTATCATACGACAAACTATTGATAATTCAACACAATGACTGTCAAAATCCAACAAAATATTGAGCAATGGTTTTCTTCAGGATATCATTTCATAAATTGAAGGATGATTGCAACATGCCAGAAGTACTTAATATGAAGTCCAGAACAGAAGTTTGAAGGATGCTGTGTAAGTGTAACAGCTTATATGTGATTGGTAAGAAAAGTTTGATCCAATTTCAATATATAAAATAACATTCCTCAAGAAAAGGCAGTTATATCTGAGGTAAACGTGTTGGAAGATCAGCTGGTACATCTGCACTTGCCTGTCATATAAACAAAAAAATCAGTTCAGTAATCTTCTAAAATGAAGTAACAAGATAGCACTTCTTGGAACAGAATTAGGATCTGCGTACCTGAAGGTATCTTGTCAACATAGCAGTAGTACTGAAATTAAAACCTTGAACTGGTTCTCCTTTTGTGCGAGATGCATTAAGTTGCTTTCTCACTTGAGTGGCTAATGACTGAATAAACATTATAAAATTCAGCAAACAAAGGTGAAAGCATGTCAAATTTTAAAAATGTGCAAGAAAAATCACATCATAAAGAAACAACTATAGCACAGAGTATTTCTCTGCCAGGGATAGAAGTAAGAACATAAATGGTCACTTATCAACTACTTACCTTCCCAAGCTCCACTCCCCACTGGTCAAAAGAATTAATGCCCCAAATAAAACCTTCTACAGCAATTCTATGTTCATAGATTGCCAACAACTGGGAAAGAAGATAGGAGGTGATATTAGGGCTAAAAATTCAATTTCCACAGCCTCGTTAAAGAAAAGCATCAGTATAAACTGCTCAAGTAAGGAAAATCCACATTTGATTGGAACAACATATTCTATTGAGAGGTAAAATCTAAGGGTGGGAAACGGATATTTTCTGGTTAGACATGCTCATCAGAAAGATAGAAAAATTCAAATTCCTGCCAACAGGAATGAATTATTTCATTTCTAATTATTAATCAAGATAAGTGGAGGGACTTCAAACCTGTCCAATGTTATAAGCATTCAATGATGGAAGCAGAAGGCTGAGAGAAGGTCGATTCCCAGAGAATGTCTGCAGCATGAATAATGCACACGGTAATGGGACTACTGATTGTACAAGTATAAGCCATGAAGTAGCCATAGTAACGGAAGGAAAACTACCTTGTGTGGCACAAGATGTGGAGGAACATTCTCCTTCTGCAACTGCTCGGATGTCTGTTTTCAAAAAAGATTGATTTATTTAACCCTCAAAAGAAGTCAAAACAATGCATGTAAAATGCAGAATAGAACTGCCAACAACATGCCAACATGCCAACATATGATATCTTCTGTTCACTCCTGTGTCCCACGGTCTGAGAAGAATGCTTATGACATGAAAATTGTTCCAAACTGGATTTGTGCCCTTGGCTCACTTTGGCCAGAGTAAAAAACTCAGTATTTACCCCCCTCCGTCCAACCAAATTGATACAATATTTTCTAGAAGGCAATGAAAAAGAGGACCACGTCTCCATTCAGTCATTTCGGATGAAATCCTTAAATTTATGACTAATAAAAGCTAAAACACTCAACAAGGGGTTTTCTCCCACACATCATAGCCTCCTAGCATCGCCTCTAACTAAAAGTGTGTGTCTGCTGGAATGCCCTCTTTTTCACTGCACTGGAAACACCAAACACCATCACCCTCTCTGCTTGGATCAAGGGTGTGGTTAGGCCTGATTCTTGGACAAAACAAGAATTACCTTAAAGATACCCTCATGAAGAATCTTGTTTATATTGTGCAACAACCAGTTCAAATTAATTTCAAATTTCCATTTATAAAAAACAATAATGAATCTGATCACTCCATTGTTTTATGATTTATTTTATTCTATTTTCTACTTCAGATATTGAGAAGCGGTAAGCAATAAGGCTACTTAATCCATAAATAAGAAAGAGAGGATAAATATACCTTCCCATATGGAAGCGCTCCATTTGGTTAGTTAATAAATATGAATTAGATTAGAGAAACTATATGTGTACCTTCCCATAGGCAAGTGCATCTGGTTGTGCAAAAAAGTTTGACATTAGCTCATCATGGTTGCTCACCACCTCTCCTGTACAGAAAGTGCGTGAACTATTTGCATGTCTCAAACCCAAATAACCAGAGTTTAAACATCAAACCAGGCATATTTACCGCTCAAGTAAACAGGTTGCTGACTTTTCACAACCCCAATAAAGTCACAAGGAATAACACGTCCCTACACATCAGGAGATGGAGATAGATGTGTTATTTCACAACAAAGTCCTTCATACCGAGAGAAATGTAACAGCTATGTGGAATTAATGACCAGATTGGAAGGCACATTAAAAAAATAAGCTTAAAGGTTGAAAATAAATCCACGTTTTGGTATGATTGATCCCTCTCCCAAATTCTACAGAATAAAAAAATTTGTAGAAATTCTTTAATGTTATACAATAATAATTTTTGTCATCTAGTTTATACTGGGATGCCCATGTATGGTATATATCCAAGCATGACTAACTTCTGATTTGTTTTGAGGCCTAAAGAAAATCCTAAATGCTGTTAAAAATGTGACATTCAGAAAATTTGCTGAGTTTAGAACTGAAAGAAGAAAACTAACTTCTGAAAGATAAACCATGAATGCATATGCAACGTAAGTGATCTGCTGAGTAACCACCAGTTGACTCAGCATAGAGGAAAGATAAAATAATCTTCCATTAAATTTCTATATGGACTTATGGCCTTATGCCCTCATCAACCATAATATAGATTTTACCTACGGATTAACATGCAAACTGCACAAACTAAAATTCAAAAACTAATTACAACACAGATATCACTATTTGAATCTTACCTGATGTATAAGTTGATAAAAACTATGCTGCCCATTTGTTCCTGGTTCACCAAAATCAATTTCACCAGCCTCAAATGGTAGTGGGACACCATCAATTGAAACACCCTTGCCGTTACTCTCCATGCTAACCTAATTTTAACATGCACAAAGCAGTATGAACAAAGAGTAAACAAAAATTAAAAAATGCGTGCGCATTCAATTGCAAGGCAATGACAAACATACCTGTTGAATGTGTGGGGCAAACTTCTCCAGTGCTTGAGAATACGGTAAGATAGCCTGGGTGTGAACCAAAGTTTCAGTTATTGAAAATGATCGGTTAATGATAAAGAAACATAAGAAGTTGTTCAATAGAACAAATTGTGAGGCACTCACTCGGGCAGGATATCCAAGAAATGAGACATTCCATACACTCAATAGTCCCAAAAGCACCTGGCACAATGACACAATTGAACATGTCATCTTGTACTGTTAAAAAACATCTCTAATGCTATATAGATGTATAATCCCAAGAAAGGAAGGATTGACGTAGTTACTCATTACTCATTCTCCATCTGTGGAAGCAGTTTATTGCTTCAAAAAGGAGAGTAGTTTTGTAACCATGAAAGGCAATTCAAATTTTGAGTGCAACAAATTGTCATCAAGCAAGATGAAGGAAGCACTAAGTAGTGAGACAAACAAACAGAGAGGAAAAGTAGATATCAAGTAGACCATAACATAGAGAAAATATAGGAGATAAATGTTAATAAATTGGAAGATAATCGTTAAGTCTTACAAAATAATTTAGGCGTAACTAAACCCTACAAAATCAGTTTGTAAGGTAAGTATTACCCCACTTACATATTTATTTCACACTATCTTTAATCGATGAAGGACTTCAGTCACGTCCAACACTATAGGGCTGGGTACATGTGTAACATGGTGGGTAGCCCTTTTAATATATTTAGGATAGGCTCTAATATCATTTTACTAAGTGGTTTAAACCTGACTCACTCCAACAAAATCAACTTGCAAGGCCCCTCACTTATGTATTTTGACACTATCTCTATTGATATGGGAATTGAGCTTTTCCCAACATTACGAAAAGTAGTCACATAATTATTCTTTGTCCCAATTGATTGATGTTGGACTCTATTCTAAGACTATATTACTATTACAGTAAAAACCAGTCTTTGACCTCCTTTAATAACTTAAGATTTTAGATATGACTATGAGCTGGTTTATGATAGTTACTTCCCAGCCACTACATTAGACCAATAAATGGCTTAAAATCTGTCTAGCATGGTCAGGAGATCCATAAGTAGAAATAAAACACCGCTGTAGAGGATCTTACAGGTAGATTTCTTTCAAATTGTTCTGAATACATATGTTGATCAATGCTGGAAGCCCCCTTTAAAAACCTTCAAAGCAGAAATGAGATGTTACATACAAACCAAGCATATGAACAAGAAGTGATCAAATAGGAACCAAAAAAGTAGATAAATAAATGGATGAATTTTTACTGTCCTGGAACCAAGGCTACTTACCCAAGAGAACACCATATTTTCCTTCCGCTAATTGCACAATGAAAATGTAGAAGGGTTGGAGGCATTATAAATGAATTACTAACTAGCTATTATTACAATTGGGGGTTTTTGAATAAGATATGATTTTATTTTAGAATTACTGTGAAGGTTAAGACACTGTCTGAATACAGATTCAGGGACATATATATCCTTAATCCTTTTCTCATTAAAGATCAACATATCAGGAAGAGCATATGTAAAGGAACATTCATTGTCATCAATGAAGTTGATTTTTTTTTTTTTTCTATTATTGAATTCAAAAATAGAAGTGATTATAGGCTATGCAATGGTCAGTAGAGTGCATCAACAATAAAAGGAAACAATATACTAAGAATACTATGAAATACGCTACAGATAAGACCATTACTATCAATGAAAATAAATTCCTGCTGTAGAATCATAGCAATAATAAATCACATACTTCTCAATTACTGAGAAACCATATTGTAGGGATAAAGGCAATACTCCAACAGCACTGCAGACTGTAAAAAACACCCCAAATAATAGTCAACATCAAATATCTTCAATAATTCAAATTACTGGTCTTGTTCAACAGAGGCAGCTTAGTGCATAGGCTCCCACCTAGTGAGATCTAGGAAGAGTAGATGTATGAAAAGAAAAAAATTACCACTATATCGGCCACCAACCCAGTCCCAAAATGCAAAAGCATTATTAGGATCAATGCCAAACTTTTCCACAAGCTGCATCAGAAATGAAAACAACAGAAAACAATAACTATAGGCTCAGCGTTGAATAATTGATACATCTCTTCACACGGAAACCACACACAGAATTTTTCACAAAGCTTGATGAGCTAAGCAAAACAAAAAAAGAACAAATGGCCATACTGTGAGATTGGTACTGACTGCCACCATATGTTTTGCAACTGCTGAGGACCTGAAGGTCAAATAGAATGATAAGCCTTCTGATTACATTTAACGTTTCTATTCTACATAACTACGGATATATTTTGAAGAAGACATTAAGGGATGGTTGCATAATACTTATAATACTAAAAGTCTATAAGGTAAAAATTCCAGATTCTATTCTCAACCCCCTATAAAATGGAAAGAATCAGATTATACTTTTATTCTGGAAAAATAGTTTTAATACCACACTTACCCTAGGGCAGAAGAGATCCATTCCCTGAGTGTTCGGGCATTCAACATTGTTTCAGCAGTCGTAAAAGTCTTTGAAACAATCACCACTACAAAAATAAAAAGAATTGGAACATTGTAGAAAACAAGATGGAACCCCATTCTCTTAAGTCAAATATGAACTAAAAAGGAAAAGCCAAAAACATATTTACCTAGGGTAGTTTCAGGATTTAATCCTGTGATGTTTCTAGCAACATCAATTGGATCAACATTTGCAAGACTGCACATACAAGCATATAAAGGAAGAGGTTCATTTCAGAATAAGTTTAACATAGTGAAGAGATTGATCTAGTCACCATAAAATGAGATAAAAAAAAATATAAAATGAAAACGAGGGGAATGGGGGATAGCAAGTGTAGCTTGCATAGACAGATTCATGTAGTTTACTTAGAATTAGATGGAGACAAAACAGACTTCAAAAACCAAAGTGATATTGGATTCTTACAAGCGTAGTTGACGCCCTCTTGCAGATTCAATTGCTTCAGGATCTGAAAGATGTTATAAGAACATATTCAGCCCTTCTACTTGCGTGAAGATAATATTCATGGTTCTTATGTTCATATACATATGTACTAAAAAGGGTACAAATAAAAGAAGAAACGTGATTGCCACCAAGAAACTAGAATGTGTACGCAACCTGTTTGAAGAGCTGTGTGCACAAATAATGGACCTAAGAAACTGCCACCAATACCAACAGCAACGACATCCTTCAATTCCTTTCCTGTAGCTCCAACCTACAAAAATATAATTTATATATACACTCAACTCAAGGTCCACATGTATATAAAGACTGGCAAGTATATTACCCAAGATCCACTGCGGACCCGCTCAGAGAACTCCTTTATCTTGTCCAGAACGTTCCAAACATCTGGAACAACATTATTTCCATCATTTTGTATAACAGCATCTCTTGGAGCGCGAAGAGCTACATGAAGTACTGATCTATTCTCAGTGCTGTTTATCTGAAAGTCCAAAGAAAATTACAAAAGAATTGTCATCATTCAGAAAATGCAGCAATTGTGTCCACAACATGTATACATGTACACTTTTTCACTACAAGGTTTCCCAGAGTAGAAGCAGGAATTTCAGAAAAATTTAATAAAATTGTAACACCTCTATTCCGGAAAGGGCAAAAATTTTAAAATGCATGTATGATATAAGCATATGTACTATTCATTGGTTCAGTATATAAGAACTTACATGCTCCCCATTGTACATCCGGTTTATCTTTTCCTTGAGGGAAGCAACCTACGCCACATCCAGATATATAATAATCAGATGAATGCATTTCTGTTTGACAATGGAGCTTTTATTATTCTAAAAGAAGGACATGACCTAGGGCCACAAGATTAAACAAGTTGTCTCAATACCTAGAAGGACTGAACTAACCTCTGCCAATTTGAAGAGTTTTTCCCTTGTTTCAAGAGTGGCTTGCTGCCTTGAGTAGTCCAATTGAATTCCATCAAATTCACTTCAAAGAATACAGAAGTCAGAAGGTTATACATCAACACATTGCAAGCACATTGTCCTGACCCAACTTTTTTAGCATAAAATACTTTCAAATCCTGATGGTAATCTCCTAATTTTATTGATACAGCTATAAAAGAATATAACAGGTCAAAAGTTTATAGAGTTTTATAAATTAAGTGTCATACACCACCATTGACCGTGATCTCTCGTCATCGCTCAATAAATCGCGCAAGTGAGTCTTTTTTACATCCTCAGCATGGGCCTGCACAAATTTGATGCAATTAATAGAATGCTTCACTACCTCCGCATTATATAAGTATCTAGGAAGTGATTATTCATCACCTCTAACTCCTTCCATGGCTGAGTGTCACAGATGAGAGTGGACGAAGCCATTTGGAACTATAATTGATAGATTTTCCTGCAGATGAAGAAAAGCGTACAGGTGAAGAGAAACAAACATAAAACAACAGTTAAAAATATGTGGAAGCCTCTACTTCATAGAACCATGCTAACTTACACACAAGTGAACCCTATCTCTAAATTTATATCATATGTATACACCATATGCCAATGCCATATATGTCCATGGTCAATACTCAATAAGAAAAGCTATGAAACTCAATAGACTTCCATATGTTGAAGAACTGGAATGCCTAAGATAGACTGCCTAAAACAATTAAAAGAGAATCAAATGTCAAAAGATATAGTTCTACGCTGGAAGGCATGTATGTTAGTACATAAACTGAAACCAACTTTATCTAAGATGCTTATTGCAAGAATGGTAATCCTATTGGCTTCCATCGGTGAATCAACTGCTATTGAAAACGAAAGAACAAGCAAATTAGTAACCAAATTTGGAATCAGGTCCATTCGGGCATGGACTTATATATAAGCTCAAGTTAAGTTTTATAATAAAAAACAACACAATCGAATCAAAATATTCATTGATAAGAACCCAAATACCAAATAAGTAATTAAGGAAAAACAAGAACAAAACAACAAAAGCACACCCTCAAAATCCAAATAAAATCATCAAATTCACAGAACCCATCAAAGCATGAAGACTTATAAACAACACTGAAGAACATGCAGAGCTCTCTGTTTCAAAGCAGTTCAATGTTGTAAACAATAAACAGAGCATTCAGACACGTGGCATTGTCGGCGATAAGCGTGAAAACAGAGAAATGGGTTCCTTTTCAAACCTGAAAAAGGAGTGAACTTCGGGAAGAAATGGAGATGGGGTGTCTTGAAATGGGATTTGGAAGGCAAAAAGATGGTGGCCGTCAGAAAAAAGCAAGGGTGGGTTGAGAGTGGTTTTGATTTGAAGCAATGTTGTTGTATTGTGTGAGAGAGAGAACAGAGAAAAGGTGGCGGATTCAGGTTCTGTGGACGGAAATAGATAATTCGAAAGCTCACGGGAATGGACCTTAAAACTCGTTATGGCACATAGATCATACAACCAACCTTAGACTCATGAGGGGTGGGATGTATATTTCACTTTGCTATTGTCTATATACATACATTAAAAAAAATAATGAATTTTGTATTAATTTTTAAATTTTTATTTTTAGAAACTAATATGATGCTCAGATATTATTTTAAGTTGGTGATTTATTTTTTATATAATTTTTTTTTATTTAAATCACCTTATTCAAACTAGAATTGGAATTGGTAAAATGAAGGTATAGTTTTCTCAAATACTGTAACTATTTTTCATGAGTTAAGTTTGTATTATCGAATAAAAAATGAGTTTAATTTTGTAATACTACAAAAAATGTTATAGTAAACATTTTTAATATATTTTTTTAAATAGTAATCCTGAATAATTTATGATTAAAAAAATATAAATAATATTTATTACATTGATATATTTTAATTAATTTTTAAAAATATATAAGCGCATATTTTGCTTGTTTATAAGCGCATAAAACATTTTCAATATATTTTTAAAACAGTAATAATGAAATATGATAATTTATGATTACAAAAATATAAAATAATATATATTACATTGTTATATTTTAATTAATTTTAAAAAATATATAAGTGCATATTTTTGCTTTGATTATATCCATTATAACACATATACCGTAAGGAAATTTAATAACATGATTAACTATAGAAATATTTAAGATTAAGTTACATATTCACGGTTTAAAATTTGGGTGGATTGAAAGAAAAAGATATATATTAAATTATTGATAATCTCAAATTTCAAACCATGATCGTATCGAAATAATATATATAAGTTTTTTTAAAATAGTAATATATATATATATATATATATATGTATATATGTTAGATTAAAAAAAAGTCAAATCAAATATAAAAAATATTGTTTTTTAATTAAAGCGGGATTATCATAAAAAACTAATATCTATGCAAAATAACATGGTTTATTTGTTAAAGATTTCTTTTATAAGAAAGTACAAGTTAATTTATATTTATTTACAAAAATATTAAATATTAAAAATATTAAAAAATATTTTAATTGTATTTTAGTTTAACATTTAATAATTTAATCTATAAATATGATTGAATATATAAAATCATATAATATGTTAGTTTCACATCAAAGAATATGAGAACTCCTTAAAAATCAAGTATATTTATACGAACATATTAAGTAGCAGCGTATAACTAATATTACACGCATGATCCTAACACTTTGTTTGGATGGAAGCATAAAGATGAGAGACTTTGAATAAAATAATGAAAAGTAAAAAAAAAATATATATATATATATATATAATAATAATAAATATATTAATTATATGATTAAGCATGTCAAATACATAATTAAATAAGTAGAATATTAATGAAATACTAACAATATAATTAGTTATATCAATTTTTATATCTTTTTTTTTAAATGCAAATGCCCTTTGTTACAATATATTAGAATTCGCAGCAACTTATTCATACGAATTATTATTATTATTATTATTATTATTATTATTATTATTATTATTTATGTTAATAATTTTTAAAAGAAATCTCACTAAAATAGGTTTGTTTTAGTGTTACTTGATTAACATTTCAGGTATAGATGGAAAATATAACATTTTTTATAATTTATTTGTATGTATCGCATTTGTATTTAAGTAATGTCTTTAATTTCATTTAAACTTATATTTTATAAATCGTTTTAGTAAAATGAGAAACAATCACTCCAATGACTAGTTGAAATTCATATTTTTATCATCTTTCACAAAATTTTTATAAAAGGTTGAATCAAAATTCCTAGAATAATCTCAATTTAGATTTAACAGTACGTCTTAATAAAGGATGATTATACTTATTTAATTTATCTCTCCTAATTTAAATGTCATCAGATGAACTTTGAAAATTTTAATATAAAAAGTTGAGATTCACATATCCTCTAATGAAGTGTCTTATACACCCTTTAAAATAAATCACAAATTAAAATCATTAAATTGAAAAAAAAAACATGAATAATGGTTTAATATATATATATATATATATATTATTTATTTTATGAAAAGTGTTAAAATTTAGTTTTTTATGTTAATTATTTATTTTTTAATTTAATAATCAAGATAATTTATTATTTTAAAGTATTAGAATATAAAAAAAATTATTAGTTTTTAATAAATTAAATCTTTCTAAATATATTTTTATTTTTAATCTTGAATTTAAATTATAGATTTAAAAATATGAACTCAATGACAATAGTGAACCAATAGAAATTTTATATAACAAAATTTGGAGTGAAAAAATATATAATTATTATACATAAATATCTATATGGTTAGAGAGAAGTGATTAACTATAATAAAAGAAATAAAAGTCTGGCAACAACAAAAAAGAATTAAGAGTATAAAAATGTTTCAAAAGTTTGAATGAGATTATACTAAAAAATTGTAAAACAAAAATCTTTTTAAAGTACTATCAATAATTAATGTTTGTCGGTTTATCATTTCCTTGCACTTGCACTCCGTCAACACCTTTAGTCAATGACAAGTTCAGGCTGTGCTAGTAGAACCAAATCCACCTTAAAAATCGAACCTTTATCACCATGTTAGAACCAAGTAGTGTTGTTTCATCTCAATGGATCGCAGGAACATGTTATGTTCTTCAATGTTGGTGTTCACCATGTTGGGTTTTCACTCGTTCTTCGCTTCGTCGCAGGTCGAAGACGACGTAAAATGTCTGCGTGGCATCAAGGACACCCTCTCCGACCCTCAGGCTCGGCTCGCCACGTGGCGGTTCGACAACACAACTCCTGGTTTCATCTGCAACTTCGAGGGGGTGTCTTGCTGGAACCAAAGAGAGAACCGGGTCTTGGGTTTGGACCTCGAACAGTTTAAACTTTCGGGTCGGATCCCCGAGGCTTTGAAGTACTGTGGAAAGAGCATTCAAAGGTTGGATCTAGCTTCAAATTCTTTCTCCTCCGAGATCCCAAATGAAATCTGCACTTGGATGCCGTTGTTGGTTTATGTAAATTTTTCTAGCAATCAACTTTCTGGGGCTATTCCTCACTCGTTATCGGATTGTGTGTATTTGAATGTGTTGTTGTTGTCAAATAATGAGCTTTCGGGGCCAATTCCCTATGAGTTTGACCGTTTGCAGAGGCTTAGGAGTTTTTCTGTGGCTAATAACAGGCTCAGCGGGAGGATTCCTGCTATTTTTAGTGGGTTTGATAGGGAGGGTTTTGAAGGGAATAAAGGGTTATATGGGAGTCCTCTTGAATCCATGAACAAGAAGAAAAGTGTTGGTGTTATCGTTGGTGCTGGTGTGAGTGCTGCTGTTGTATCTTTGTTACTGTCTTCTGGGTGTTATTGTTGGTGCGAGAAGAGACATAGAAAACAGTAATCATCTATTTAAGGATATTCACATGTTTTAATAGATATCAAGAACATAGAATTTTAATACTTCAAACCCTGCATTTTCTATAACATTCTCTAGCAATTCATTTGATTTGACCATGGAGTTTACCAACCTTACCTTAAATGGATATTTTCTTAAGTGTTTTTTCACCTTCCAACCCACACCACACGGCTAAATCAACCTTTGGGTAATAAAATGCATTCCACAAGTCGATTTCATAACTATAATATACTTTGATTCTCACTGTATTTCTTTTTTGGGTTAAACAATGACATATCAATATAGTTGGAGCTGACATGATTCATTTGTATACAATGAAGTGTTTAAGTGTAACAAAGACGAGGAATGATCTCTTGGCAAGTGTCAATTCTACTATAAACGAGTTAAGTTAAAACAAATAATTTATCACAATTCATATATATATATATATAAAAGATTCATTTGATTTACGATTGATATTAATGATTTATATTAAATTTGCATGAAAATAATATAATGACATTAGATTGATCAGAAAATATTTTTAAGAGATAAATTGAGATTGAATTTCATCTATTTTACTCTTCTGTGATCTGGATGAATATAAATATATAATATCCTAATTTATTAATATTGATGTAACATACAATAATCATTTATATTGATTCATCAAGTATAAAATTTATAAGACCGATTTCCTTAATATCGATTTTTCGTATATTCAACAAACTGTCCAATATTCTTTCTAAATGATAAAAGCAATTGATATACTCAAATCTATTCCTAGCATCACAATACATCAAGTATTTTTGTTTAGATCAGATTTTCGAAATACTTTCCAGTCAATTCTAAAAATCACATTCACAAATCTATTGATCAGATAGAATCAAGCGAGTAAGAGCAAAAAAAAATGTCAATATTGAATAAAAACAAAAAAACTATATATAGATATTATCATATTTCATCCGAATTCGAATCTATTACCTTCAATCCCAAAAGAAAATATTAGTCACTCATGGCAGTCATTGACATCCTAAGAGAAAAAGAAAAACTTTAAAGTTAAAATTGAAGAAGAATTTTCCCTACTATTATAAAAAACGGCACATCTTTTTTTTTTCCTAAACCACAAAATATATATACTGCACGGGTTCTCGCTTAAGCTAAATTATTCTCGCTTAAGTCAAAATGACTTTCAAATTGATTGCTATCTGGACGAATGTCGCTCAAGCGAGATAATTTTCGTTTGGACGAGAATGATTTTAAAATTGGTTGTTCTATGGACGAATCTTACTTAGGCGATACCATTCTAGCTTGAACGAGTTGTGGTAAGATTTTATGTCTTTTTCTTCTATTTCTTCCTTTCTTTTTCTTCTTTTAAGTTCTTTCCTCCTTCTTTCTTAATTTACCTTAAACATATTAAAAATGAGGATCAAATTATTTTCTTTTTAATTAAAACCCAACAACATATTATTATATTTCATCATTCTTAAATTAGAAAAATTGATACCAAATATATAAAAGTTGAAACAACAATACCATTATTTCATATGAAAATTTACTAATTTTTTCGTACTTATCGATCAAATATTTAGGGTTTGTTTGAATTCATTTAGTTTTTTTTATATATAAATAATTTTAAAATTTTAAAATAATAAAAAAATTGTATGATAATTCTATTTTCAAAATTTATTGTAAAAAAAATACAAAAAAATGATAAAACTGAAAAATAATTTTAATAACTTTATAACAACTAAGATAAGTGATTATTAAGCAAAACATTGATATTTATGAATAAAAATATAAAACTAAAACTGAAAATATATTGTATGGATTTTGTACTATTATTTTTTAAAAATAAAAAATAAAAATTGTTTTTAAAAATAATAAACAAACTAACCCTTGATCTATTTCTCTTAATAATTAATTTTCAGGGATTTGTGCTATTATGTTATCCTTCACAAATCACAGTCACTTTGACGTTTTGTTTACTTAAGAAAGACTCCATAAAGCACTCGCCAACTCTTGTTAAATCAACGAAACTGTCACATCGCACACAACATCACCTTAAAATTTATCTTTAATTTATCATTTTTACTACGAATTTTTATTCCAATTTCCTATTATGTTATACATGTCTTTTTACATCATATTTTTGTAAAGCTCAAACATGTCAATACTCTAACACTCTATATGTCAGAAATTTAGTTATAATACTTTCCAATTTAAATTTATGTTCTAAAGAATTCTAATATTTTCTTCAAAAAATTAATTAATTGTGTATAGTTCTCAATTTTACACTCTATGTTTTTATTCAGATAAAAGAAAAATTATTCAAATAGTTTAAGTTTTACTAACATTTTTACGGTTTCAGATTTTCACATTGTTTGGTTCTTAATTTTTTAATTTTTTTTCATAAAAATGTGCACTTCATATTCTTTCTTGAATGTTTTGCTAAAAAAATTAAATACATTACAAAATTAATCACATATTTTAATTTCAATAAAAAATAAATATATAAAATATTAATCTCAATCTTATAGTAATATTCAAATATTTTAATCAAAGAAACGTCCAAAATTAAAAATAAGTTACAATTATAATATTCAAATCAAATCATCAAATTTAACCTAATTACATTAAAATATTCAAAGACGCTTATTCAAATAACAAATATTCCACACAAAAAGTGCATCAAAGAATGTCACATTATTATAAGTTGAAGAAAGAAAAAACAAAGTGTGTGTTGGTGGTTAAGGAGTGGTTCTTTCTTCTGGTTATCAAAGTTTAAAAATTTTAAACAATAAACTACCAATTAGGAAATTTCCAAACACAAAATTCCATTTTTTTCTACTCTGTCGATTCCTCTGGGTCTATGTTGAACTAAAGATTAATCTTTATATTTTTTTTTATTCATACGAAGTAGGGTTTAGGAATTATATACGAAGTTAATGATTATGATTTGTACATAAAAACTTTTATATTATAATTTCATCAAAATTATAGTAATCATATTTTTTGTCTGGTCTAATTCTAGATTAATCAAAAGGTTAAGGAATCAATTTTCAGAAAATTTTAAAAAATTATTAACATGTTTGTATAAAAATAATTAATTAAAAGTTTTTAAATAAAAATTTAAAATATATTTCAAAATTTTAAATTATATTAATTGAATGAGAACTTAACTAGGGAAAATCTTATCATATGTTAAATAATTAAAATAATGAATATTGAATCGGTGAAGAACACAAATATCTTAAAACCTGATACTTTAATGTTTAAATCCGCGTTACCTTATCAAGATATGTTTACATTCAATACCTAATTTTGCATCAAACAAAATTACCAAAAGACAAATCAGTTAAAATGGTAGGAACTATTTTTAACGTTTTCTGAAAACCCCCACACTTTTTCCATTTTTTTATTCTTACACGAATTGTCTTAATTATTTAAAAAATTCTTTTTTTTTTTACGTTGTCTAACTTTTTAAGTTGTGTTAAAAATATTACACTCAATTTTATATAAACATAATTAAAAATGTGTTTTTTAATAATTTTGGATCCAATTGTTTATCTAAAAACCCAAGTAAAAACCAGTGGCTTTTTCATTCAGAATGCATGAGTGAAGAAAATCCCAGTCAAAGACCCCAACCCAATCAGCAACTCCAGTCAAAGAAGCTCCTTTCAATCACCTAATCACCACTGTATGCATACACAACTCCAAAACAACACCAATTTAATTTTCTTTTCTTTTTCACACAACAAAATTCCACGTTCAATTAACCATCTTCCACCCATTTAACCCCTCACACATTCATAATTTATCGTTCTCTGCACTGTTTATCTCTGCATTTCCTCACACCCTACAAGTCAATGGCACCATCCCAACAGCGTTAGACCCAAACAGCACCATAAAAATAGAACCTTTCTCCCACCCCACAACCTCCTTTTCCCTCCATGGATCGCAGCAACACGTTTTCCTTTTCGTTCCTTTTGTTAACCCTGTTGTTGGGGTTTCACGCGTTCCTCGCTTCTGCTCAGGTCGAGGACGATGTTAGATGTCTCCGTGGTATCAAAGAAGCCGTTTCGGATACACAGGGCCACCTCGACACGTGGCGATTCGATAACACCACCGTGGGTTTCATCTGCGACTTCGTGGGTGTGTCTTGCTGGAACCAAAGAGAGAACCGGGTCTTGGGTTTGGACCTCGAACAGTTTAAACTTTCGGGTCGGATCCCCGAGGCTTTGAAGTACTGTGGGAAGAGCATTCAAAGGTTGGATCTAGCTTCAAATTCTTTCTCCTCCGAGATCCCATACGAGATCTGTAATTGGATGCCGTTTTTGGTTTCTATAGATTTGTCTGGTAATCAACTCTCTGGGCCTATTCCTCCCACACTTGGGAATTGTTCATATTTGAATGAGTTGGTATTGTCAGATAATCAGCTTTCTGGGTTAATTCCCTTTGAGTTTGGGAGTTTGGGTAGGCTCAAGAAGTTTTCTGTGGCCAATAATAGGCTTACTGGAACAATTCCTGAGTTTTTCCATGGGTTTGATAGGGAGGGTTTTGAGGGGAATAGTGGGTTATGTGGGGCTCCTCTTGGATCCAAGTGTGGTGGGATGAGTAAGAAGAATCTTGCTATTATTATTGCTGCTGGGGTTTTTGGTGCTGCTGCTTCATTGCTACTGGCTTTTGGCCTGTGGTGGTGGTACCACTTGAGTGGGAAGAGGAAGAAGAAGGGGTATGGGGTTGGTTCTAGTGCGGGTGTTGCTGCTGCTGCTGGTGATTGGGCTTTGAGGTTAAGAGGTTATAAGCTTGTGCAAGTTAGTCTCTTTCAGAAGCCTATAGTGAAGGTGAAGTTGGGGGATTTGATGGCTGCTACTAATAATTTCAGCGGGGAGAATGTTCTTTTTGCGACGAGGACCGGGACAACGTATAAGGCTGATCTTCCAGATGGTTCCACCCTCGCGGTGAAGCGGTTGAGTGCATGTAGGATTGGGGAGAAGCAGTTTGGGATGGAGATGAACAGGTTGGGGCAGGTTAGGCACCCGAATTTAGCTCCTCTGTTGGGGTACTGTGTTGTGGAGGACGAGAAGTTGTTGGTTTACAAGCACATGTCTAATGGGACGTTGTATTCGTTGTTGCACAAGAATGGTGGGGTGTTGGATTGGTTGATGAGGTTTAGGATTGGGTTGGGTGCAGCGAGGGGGCTTGCCTGGTTGCACCATGGCTGCCACCCGCCCATTATACAGCAGAACATTTGCTCCAATGTGATTCTTGTTGATGAGGAGTTTGATGCTCGGTTGATGGACTTTGGGCTAGCAAGGCTCATGGCTTCGGACTCAAATGGAAGTTTTGTGAATGGAGATTTGGGGGAGCTCGGTTACATCGCCCCGGAGTATCCGAGTACTTTGGTTGCTTCATTGAAAGGGGATGTGTATGGGTTTGGTGTTTTGCTTTTGGAGTTGGTGACCGGGAGAAAACCGCTTGATGTGAGCAATGGGGAGGAAGAGTTCAAGGGTAGCTTGGTGGATTGGGTGAACATGCATTCTAGTTTGGGGAGGATCAAGGATTGCATTGATAAAACCATATGTGGAAGAGGGCATGATGAAGAGATTCTGCAGTTTCTGAAAGTTGCCTTGAATTGTGTGGTTTCTCGCCCCAAGGATAGGTGGTCTATGTACCAGGTTTATCATTCCTTAAAGACCATAGCTAAAGACCAGAGTTTCTTTGATCATGATGATGACTTTCCATTGATCTTTGGTAAGCCAGAAAGTGAGGCAGCGTAGTTGTTCTTGAGGGAGCATGGCAGTATGAGATGATGATGAGATTGTTCTCACTGAATTGCTATTTCATAGTGGAGAGTTCTGAGATGGTGCTAATGTTTATGGTTTGAGCATTTCCTCCATTGGTGACCCTAATCAGGTATAGTTGTATTGTATGATATAATAAACTTTCTGGTAGGTTAGATTTTATGAGATCTATTTGTTTCACTGTTTGTTGTATCCAAATGCAATCTCTCTAATTATGTCCAAGATGTTTGGAATATACTTCGGATTTGAACCCTCTCAAATTATAAATATATGTCCTCAAGACCAAAAAATTGGACATCAACTTGTGCTCTGTAAAGACATTTCTCACCATGATGTTATTATTTTCATCTAGATCTAATCTATTGGAAAGTTAATGGCGCTTTTTATCTCTGTATAAATTATAAGTGGGCATTTAAAGAAGTTAGTGCTCTATATATGGATCTTTATAACATAAAGATGAACAAGCACTTGTTTAAATTGTTTATTCTAATACGTTTCAAGTTTAGCATACTAATACCTACTACATTAACCAAAATCAAGTTCATCATGAACATTGTAAACTTGACTTGTCTGTTCTGTAGAAAAATGTAATGATTATACACTGCAAGAAAGTAACTTATACTGTGTATTTATCACCAAGAAAATATTTTGGGGTTTGGTTTGCCTTTTGAAACACTTGTAACTGTTCATGTTGAAGTAAATTAGTTTTTTCAAAAAAAACACTGAAGGTATGTTTGGAAATCCGTTATAGTTTTTTTTGTTTTTAAAACGTACTTTTAGGGCAAAATTTATGTCTCAAATTGTGTTGAAACATTTTTCACTGAAAAGCTAAATATTTTTTTATAAATTCTCTTATAATTAAGAAGATTAATATGAAATTTTGTAATATATTTTTTTCTTATTATTAATTGTTAGCTTGTATTGGAATGTCAACGTGTGATGAACTATTTGATAATTTATTTTTCTTCACAGAAATTATCTTTAGACCTGTCCTACATGATTTTTTTTGGGAGAATTTCTTGGTAACGCGACATTCACAAAAATACATTTTTTATTTTATTTTTTTATGGAAAAAGACAAGACAGGAAAGTACAACTTATCCTCGGGTTCAAGTTACATTTATTTAATAGCTGAAATAAATCTTTATTTATAAATTTTTGTCATTGGAAGACTTTGACCATGAAATTTGTTAAAATAAATGAAAAAAATCCACAGAAGTCAATAATAATTTTCATTTAATTTAATATTTTTTCCGAGAAACAACATAAATTTAAGATATGTTTTATGAACATATTTGTAAAATGTTCGTAGAGAAGTTATGTTGAAGAATATAAAATTGATTGTTTCAGAAGTTAAAAATAATAAAATTTTAGAGAAGTTATGTTGAATAACTTTTATAAATTGAGTTTATTTGTTTAGACAAAAACAACTATTGATTTTTTTTCTTAAAAATTATGTTAATTTTAAAAGAAAAATATAAAATATAACAAATATATTCCATAGATTTAAAAAAATTATCAGTTAGTTTAGTCTGCAAGGTAATCAAATTCACTTGATTATTTTATACTATTATATTTTTAATCACTGTGATTTAACTAATTTTTAGATCAATTTTGATAACTTTGTTTTCAAAACTTAAAATACAAAAACTAATGAAAATGTTGTTAAAATACTTTTGTGGTCTCAGCCACCATATATTTTGCCAAGTCAAGAAGCATATTTGGGTGAGGAGGAATTTTCTTTGTTTATATTCTCCAATTAAGAAAGTGTAAAATCATTGGTCAATGGTAATAACTTAGAAAAGTAGAGGGTGATGCCAACTTTTGTGAATCATTGCAGTCAAGCCAAGCAATGTCTTAAATAAAAGATTATTGAATCATTGACTTAAAATCTCATGTTATGTATTATGAGTGAAGAGTGTGGGAGTTTTTCTTCAAATAAATAAACAATTGAAGGTCCTCATTCAATTTTAATCACAGCTTAGGATTATTAATACCTTTGAAGGAAAATATTCAAAGTATATAGTTTTGAAGTGCAATGTTGCAGAAAATAGTAAGTAGAATTTAGACAAAGGAGGAAGGGGCCTTGGAGATCCCACACACATGCTTTTGAGAATTGTAAAGAAAGACATGTAGGACACATGATGATCCAATTCAGCAGATTCATCTGGTTTTGCATCTGCAAAATATTCAGAAAAGAGAAACAAAAACTGGCAGGGGTGAGAATCTGTCTCCCATGCAATGGAGGAGGAAAAATGAAACACATTCATAATTTGAATCTCAGTTACTTTGGACCAAGTCACATCCTTCTCGAATCTACAGAAAATCAGACCAGAAAGAAAAAGCAAAGATAAAGAAAAAGCAGCACCAGGGGATTGCTCCTTTCCTGATTTCCCTTTAGTGGCATACCATAATTTGCAAAATCTCCTCAATCCATTATTAATCCATAATCCAATATTAATAAAAAAAACTATAAAAACCATTTGTCTAGGAACCTTCCTATACTTGAGGCTATTCATTTGAAACCTTATAACTAAGCAAGCAGTTATATTCATGTTTATTTTGATGCATTGGGCAAGGTAAAAGGGAAATGAAAAGGAATTGCTTATATGTATATACTTTAAATTAAGGAAAGTGCTTTGTTGAACACAAGGCACTTGAAAGAGGGTGCCACCATAAAAGGAATTCCCAAAGATTACTTAAAAAAATTAAAGGCTAATAATATGATGCATGGAGACTTGGCCTTTTTTCTTGTGTACTGCTCTAAATAATCCAAATTGGAATGGTTTGTCTTGTTTTCGTTTCCACACAACATATTCCTATGTATATCCATAAATCTCTCTCACTCCCTCTGGATTTGGGTATTGGGGTAGGGAAAAAGGTTTTTTTTTTTTTGATAAATTAGGGGAAAAGTAAATAGTATATGTGCAGTCTTCAAAAGGGTAGTCTCATTCTCAAAGTTCTCACGTGTTATTTTTAGGATAAGAATGATGAGGAAAACATTCACTATTTCACTTATTCACCTATAGCCATAAATTACACATTTTTTGTTTCACTTCAAGAATTTAAGGACATAATTGGATTGCATCCAAAATTTGGTTACTTCATTCCCTAAGGCCTTGATTCACAGCACCATCAAAGGTACATTTCAAAGAGAAGAAAGAAAAAGAAAACATTAAGGATCACACTTATAACCTCCAAAAACACTTGCAATAATACTATGTAACAAGTAACATTATCTTATAGAACACACTCTGAACTCTTCTTCCACAAGAGAATAGCAAAAATTCTTCCATGGTTTGTCCTCAAACTTGCTGTGGAACTTCACAATGCATGCTCAGGATTTTGTAGGTGGCTGTCTACTTTTCACTGCTCTCCTGAATAATTCATTCATACACAATAATTACACAACGATCTTGAGGATATGAGAGAGTGAGAGAGAAAGAGGTGTGCTAAAATTCCATGGTACTGGCAAAATTGTGCAGCGCATAGTGCAGCAATACTGTGATGATCATCATAATGGGTCCTCAAAACAATTAACAATAACATCATCAATAGGAAGCAAACTTTCAGTTTGAAATAAGACATGAATTGGATTGTTAAATTCAAATGAGGCTAAAAGTAGTTCAAGATCGTCCAATAAATTAATCAAGCTTTCCATAGAAAGGAAAAGGAGCCACCGAATTCTTTTTCCCCCAATAACTAAAGTGATACAGTTCTTCACCCAATGTCTTTTTTTTGGTTTTTCATGAAAATAAGAGAAAGATTGTTAGTTAAAGGAGCTTTTGATAAAGAGTGAAAAATTATCAAGTATGAGTCCATCATGCTCAAGCTCCCCTTTAGCTAAGTGCCAAAAGAATTTGTATGCCTAATGAGTGGATTAACTTCAACATGATTTCACCTCTTCTGAACATGTGAAAAACTGGCTGCTACACACTAGCCACAAAACCATATTTTAAGATTTGTCTTTCTATCTTGTGTTCATGCAATGTGTTTGGTATCATGTTAGATAACACGTCTAATCAGAAGTAACTGTTTGGTCTCATGTGCACATTTAATGTATCTCTAAACACATGCCTCGTGTTTTTCCAAGCATGTGTTTGAAGATGCATTACACGTTATACTTCAACTTCATATCAAATAACGAGGATGAATGCAGATGTAACAAATAATTGCGTCTAGTCAGAGCTCATGTTGGTTCTGGAGAAAAATGTGAAATCAACACCGTTACTGCATGATCCAGCAGCTTTACCAAAACCAAAACACTTAACTCCCCACAATTTCTTTTCTTTATTTTAATGTGGTAAGGCAAGCAAATTACATGAACAAACGCATCATGATAAGGCATTTGACAGATCATAAATGTGTGCGTACCTGTTGTGTATTGGATCAGGTCCATTTGGTACCCTTCTCTTGCTCACAATGAAGAGTCTTGAATTTGGATGCAAACCATGCCTCTGCATGCTGACCAACTTCAAATGCTTGGAGATAACATTCATTGGAACCAGCACTGTCCTTTTTGTTTGACGGTTCACTGAGATTGCTAGGAACATAAACCAGATGACTCCTAAAGATACCAAGGCTGCAAGAAGCAACCTTCTACAACTCATAACACCACCAACACCCATATCTTCACCCCTCTTATGAGTGTGACTTTCCATGGCAAGTAAAGGCAAAAGGGTGAGAATGTTTCAGCAACATTGTGGCATTGATCACACAAAAATGATATAAGAAGTAGAAAGAGAGAGAAAAGAGAAGAAAAGAAAGAGAGTGCAACAGGGAAGGACTATCTGATTCCTAACTTGGCGGGCTTAGAGAAACTTGCTCTATTTAAAGGCAGACAACAGAAACTGTTCTCTATGGGATGTGTGTGGAAAATATTTTCAATACTCTTAGTGTATCAGTACTCTTATTAAAACTTTGACAACTTATATATACCTTTTTTCTTAGATAAAAATGAGACAAATATTAAATTATATGATGTTTAAGATCTTTTGTACTATCACTGAAAAACTCTCTCACTCCCTCTTTCTTTGATGTGTCCAAACTCTTTCAACCATTGGTCCAATATTATGACTGTACTGAAATCCTTAGATTCCTCTGCTCTATGGGTATCAAACTTTCTCCAAATAATAGTAATAAGGAAATATATTTTTGAAATAGGCTTTTTGGTAGAAGGGACAAGAATGGATTTTTTTTTTGTGTGTGTGATTGTTAAAATTAGTAGGAGATTCCATGCTTGATGTTTATTTGTTTTATGTCATGTGGATGCATTGTAAAGAAACATTTTGTGTTATTTCTATGCATTAATAATAGCTAGTTAACTTGTGAAAAAAATGTGAATTTTCGATTTTAGAATCATCTCTAATTATGTAAAGTAAATATCTTTACAATAATAGTGCATCAAAATAAAACCTAGCCATGGACTGAAACTTGCAAGGGAGCAATAAAAATTTAGTTGTGTGGAGGCAGGGGAAGAGAGAGAAATGGAAAATGGGAATTGGGATAAAGGGTGAAGAGAGCATGGACAAACATAAAAGGCCAAAATGAATGAGAAAAGTTAGTTATATGAGGCTCTTTAGGTGTAAAGAAAGTGTCCACTTGAACTCTCTTTTACTGGGTTTGTGCATTTTCATGCAACTTGGAAAAGGGATCTCTCTGTCATCTCTCTAACTCTTAACTCTCACTAGGTTTGTACTTTGCAGGAATGAAATTGAAAACCTTGAAATTATGTCGTGTTTTCTCATCAAATCAAACTTTAGCACTCATCAGATGTAATGCAATTTTGTGCTTCTTTAGTGTTATTTTCCTAAAATGGTGTAAGTTGATTTAAAATTCCTTCCAGAATAACTCAAGATATGATCTTTAAAAGGTTTTCAGAACATTGGTTTAATTCTTAAAATATATGAACACGTCATGATTTTGTCATTGGAGACGTAGGACCAAACTGGGGTTACCCTTCATTTTAAAGATTTGTGGAACTCTTCTTGAGGAATCCCTGAAAACAAGGATTCAAAACTTGTGAAGTTGGGGATACTTTTTTTTTTTTTTTCCTGTTGCGGGGAGATGAATTATTGCATATGCATTAAGTGGAATAAAGAAACTGGAGAAAATTATTTACACACTAAAATATAATTAGTTTAAATTTAAACATATAAAGAAAAAGTTTTTTAGGTTTATTTTTTTTTCATCACTTTTAATCACATAAATGTTACTTTGGTTCATTTTTCTTGTGTATATATTTTTTAATTTGATTCTTATATATTAAAATTTTATCAAATTCATTCTCATATTCACAATAAAAATATTAATTAATTTAACATATTTTTATATTAATTTTATTTTTTTATACTCATTTAAATATCTCAATTTTATAATAAATTTATTGACTAATTTTATCAAACTTAATTATTATTATTATAATTTTTTTAGAATATTTGATACCTATAATTGTAGTTTTAAAATAAATAATATCGATAATAATAAATATATAAGGTTAAGACATTTTTGTTATTATATGAAATGATATAATATATTAAAAAAATTTACATTGATTGCAAGAATGAATTAATAATTTTTTTTTTATACTTATTAAACCGGGTATCTATTAAAGTATACGTGTAACATATAAAACATTGATATAAAAATAAAAAATAATATAACTAGTTTTCATCATTTATTAGATAAAATTTTAAAAAATACAAATGTAAAATAAAATATCACAATAAAACAACGGTTAGTATAAAAAAAGTTATTAAAATTGGTATTCCCTCTATATATTAGTATTGATAATCACTAAAAATAAAATTCGAATTAGCATGGTGTTTGGATTTGTGATTGCATAGAGTAAAACAATTGAATGCACCTTGAACAGTGAAGTACAAGTCTAAATTCAACTAATGATGTGTTAGTGGGTGAAAAACTTTATGCGTCTCTTGTTTTGTGTGTTATCTTTTGTGGTTCAAGATCGTAATCATGTCATATCATGTTTAATATGATTGGTTTTTAGGTGAAAAATATCGGTTGATGATGGGAGAAAAGAGAAATTGAAAGAAAAAAAAAATTGAGAGAAAACAAAAAATGTGATATGATAAAAAAGGAAAAAGGTAGAAATTTTTTTGTCAAATATCAAATATAGGGTTTAACTTCAACATCGAATTTACTCCTTCGTCATCATCGATTATGTTAACTATGTTTATTATCAAAACTATCTCATCATAATTAACCAAAATGCTTGTGCTCCTAGACAGAATAAAAACGAAGTAGAAAACTAAATGAAAGGGGAAAAAAAAGTATATGTTTGTATATATTTAAAAGTATTTTAGTGTAAAGAGAAAAAGGGAGAATTTTTCTTCAAGAAAGATGAGAAAATCAACTTTGACAGATTATGTTTTCTTTCTTTTTTTTCACGTGATTCTAAGGTTACGTAATTGTTGTGATTACATTGTTTGACGACTGTCTTTCGTTGGCGAGATACACGTGATGTTGTTTGATTTTGTCGTCACTTCATTGTATCATATATGTTAAATTTCAACACAGAACCACATATATGATTAATCTCACTTTTATGAAAATTTAAATTCCAAAAAGGTTATGAGGGGAAAAGGGGTTTTCCTTTTGCGTTCTCTGATGTAATTTTACAAACCTTTCCCCAGAAAAACCTTCGAATCATAAAGAGAAAACATATTGTCAAAGTTTTTCCACTTATCTCTTTCTCTTAATAAGACTCTTTTTTTTGTCTCTTTAAACTCTTTCCGATCACTTCTGTCTGAGTGGTAATTAGTTATAGCCCTTCTTAGAATGATCGAAGTGATGATTTCACTAATATTGTAGATAAAGCTTACTTTTACAATCACAGTCCACTTCTACTGTGAACAACCACTGTTGGCTAATGAAACCTTAATCTACAGGTAAAAAAAAAACAATTTCCAGCAGAAGAGGGATCACATATTATAATAACAAAGAATACAAGGTTCTTGTAATCCACCACATAACATGACATAACATGGCCCATTGCAGGGGGCAACTATTAGACTGTGTACTATAACAGCTTTTGAAGAAGTGATATAGCTGCCAAAAACTAATCCTGTTCACCCCTGTAGCAGATAAAATCTTGCACCAGCATGTTTTTTAGCCTGTACTGCAACTGTGGCATTTGAATGTGTCATCTCCTCTTCTTCTGGGACCATGTTGGTCCATAAATTGCCAAGAGCGTCCGGCCAAACCGCCTGTCAGTTATCTGTATGTCCACACAACCCCTTAAACAGCTCAAGTTGGACTGTTTATCATTAAAAACCACAAGTATTGGATACCATAAATTCATAAATGTAGGTCCTATGTTATGCAACCCTATCAGGGTAAAAGAATTTCATGAAAAATTAATGGTTGACAATTAGTACAAATATCATGCAACATAGTATATGTTGTGCAGATACAGTGTTATTGGTGGTTACTTATATTACCTTCACAAGGCTTCCACAAGAATCTAGCATGTCAGTTTTTAAAGGATACTCAACTACCTGGATCAGAACACCAAATTAGTACGAGGAAGATTGAACAGATGGAAAATATTATAAGTATGACAACAATACGCACGATAAACGTGTTATCTCCAATCAAGGATGATTCTGATATTTGCCTCATCAGCACCTCATAGTCAACTTGTGTATATGGAGGGGTGACACTAATGTAATCAAATGGGCCACTGTTACCTGCATGTAAACAATTCAAATTTACAATTTTGGTATTAGCTTACTCACTTTGGTGGTTGTCTGTGGTGGAACAAATAAGAGTGTATTAACAGTAGTTAAATAATGAACAGATAAACTAAATTTGGCTTCTAAGACTTTTTTCTAGTAAATCCTTACACAAGCAATACTTTTGGCATCAAACATTTTATACTTCCATCCACAAAAACATTTCACTTTAAATTTTGCTACATTGTCGCTGGAAAGATTAGTACACTGCGAACCAATTATAAATCATTTTCACTATAACTTTTAAACAACTATTATAACTGTCTTATCATATACAGCGATCCATGATTGGAAAGACCATGTAAAAAGTCTCTGTACTATCCATGCATTCTAATTAAATTCAAAGTATTTGTTTAAAAATAATTTTGTAACCCTATAATTTTGTGTAACCATAATCCCACAACAAATATATGCATAAAATGGAATTAAAAGGGAAGAGATACACATGCCTACAAATTGCTCTGCACGTTCAAAGAATTTTTCCACACGGACAGTGTGTATGACTGAAGCATCAAGGAATCCAGTTTCCTCTAAGTTTGGACGTAAAACATCTGATACAACCCAAGGATCCATCTCAACAAAATGCACCTGATTACTCAAATAAACAAGGGACTTCAGGAAAGAACAGTATTTTATTCAAAAAATGTAAAAACAAATTATTGAAAATCCTTTTTTGCATCTCCTTGAACATGATGAAAATCAACTTTCATTTCTCAAAAGAAGGCTGATTTTGTCACTGAGAAGATACCTCAGATCTGATCAGTGATGACAATAGTGAATGTAAACTTGTTACTGAAAACATTAATACCTCAGAACATCCTCGGCTAAGTGCTTCAATTCCAACAGAACCTGTGCCACTATACAAATCTAACCACCGGCCAGGTCTCAACGCTGCAGGACAGCCACCAGCTGCCTTAGTATTGAATAATGAAATTATTAGTATAAACAAGAAAGTCGCAGCAACAAAACTGTACAGACTAAATGAAACGTCCGACATCAATAGTTAATTAGCAAAATAACAAGGGAGATAAACATGAAACTGGTACCTGTAATATATCAAAGGCTGCACCTTTCACCACTTCCATCATGGGGCGTACATCCATGCCCTTTGGTGAGAGTAACTTTACTCTTCGAGCTGTTCCTCCAAGAACCTAGATAAGGTTCGTTTCACACCCAAAATCAGTTATGCCAATAGAAAGGCTAAAAATTTGCACTTTTTTTCATAATCATTTCTACCCGCACCAAAATTGATTTAGAAATGATTTTGCAAAACTAAAAACTAACCAAACACCCATTGTTACGGCAGGACTCAGATTTAGTCACCCCCTACGTTTTGAAGTCAACCAACCAGGCTTGTAGTCATTGGAAAAAAAGGCCAAGGGTACTTTCATCCTTTTTAAATACTAATTTTTATAGATTTAGGATCAGTAAATCAAGGTCATCAGCCTTTAAGGTTTTAATCTCTTGAGGAAAGTGAAACTAAAAAGCACATGACTAATTAAAGAAAAGCACGAATATCAGTACAAGAAAACAACAGTTAAATATCTGAATGTACTACATTAATTTTAACTACCTTAAGCAGTTAAGATAAGACTCGAACATAACATTCAAAACTGAATAAAACAATAAAATGTTCAAGTGATATAGCTTACTATGTTGATAACATAATCAAAAATAGATGTGGCAGCGTTACATTTTTTAATATCAGAGAGATAAACATACCTAGGCAACAATGGGTGGAAATGTGGTATAGAAAGAAATGAAGTAAATTTACCATACCATTTTTAACATATTCTGTGATGAAACAGAGCTAATAACCATATCAACGGTCATCACTTTCATTTCCATCTAATAAATGACCAAATATCTTCATCTAACCAACTTAAGATTTTAAAGAGTTAAAAACCAAATATGGTAGAGTCATATTGATATACCCCATAAGCTTGTCGATATTCTTACTCTTTAAAAAAATCCAGGATGACCTTAAGCCAGGAACATATGAAGCTCATAAATATGGGAGTATTTTAACATGAAAGTGATAAAATACCATTGGAAATAAATCACACACTGGCTATTCACTAATTATATGGACAAAATAGTGTGTGTGTATGTATGTATATATAAGAGGGGATCCACTTACTCCAAGAATAAGAGTTAGAGACTTATTCTTCATCATCATCATTCATTTTTTTTAATAATCTAACGGTCTAAATCATTATATTACCAAAGAGTAAATGGTGAGGATGGAGAGTAAATTTCAAACATTCTTCAAGTGAATGAATTTATCCTCTCTCTCTTTACATACATATATATATATATATATATATATATATGTATGTATGTATATATGTATGTATGTATGTGTGTGTGTGTGTGTGAGTGTGTGAAGGGTATTGAGATCGATTAGTCCTAAATCTAAAATGGTATAAAAGTCTGTCTTAATGGTTGTTGCAGGTCCTGTTCGGCTGATACTAGACTACTCACAATTGCAGATGTTTAGTCCAATAAAATTCACTTGATGTTTAGTTTCCTTGGTGTGATGGGGTCTGATGGAGATATCACAGTAACTAGTAATACGAATAAAATAGTGTATATCCCTCACCCTATTAACTAGCTTCTCAAGACGAGTTAGGTTCAAACTCAAATTTTAAGAAATCTCATACATCTCTATTATCTTAACACCTTTAGGAATGCTGACAATTCATCATACACATAGGGTGCAGCCATCTTAAATTACATGGGAAGACAAAAAAAAAGAAAAGGAAAATGATGTTAAATTAAACACCTCTAAAGTGTTGGGTGCATTTTACTTGGAATGCATAACTATCACTATTTTGTTTACAAAATACAAATGCGCACTAGCAATCTAACAATTTATTTTCATCATCAATTAGCAGTCTAAAGGATCCAAGTCCTAAAAGGATAATACCTGAAGCAATTTATGGGTAGTACGAGGAGGCTTGGGGTCCCCTGGTGGGTCCTGTTCTTGCTTCCCTCCTCTTCTTTTTAGAGGCTCCTTTCTCCTCTTGGACTAAAGTGTTGCATTCAGAAGTTAGAAGATTAAAACAAAAAAGAAAACACAGTAAATGATAATAAACCACTAGTTTCATCCTTGAACAATTGTACTCTCCTACATTACTTGACTCATAAGTTATCCAAAGAGTATTAGAAATTACTTAAGTAGTCCCCCAATATTAAAAACTCTTCAATTTGGTTCTTCAACTTTATACAGCATACCAACTATGTTAGGATAAAATTGGAAAAGTCGTTCCGCAAATTCCAATGCACAAAATGAACAAGTGCATGCTTAAACTAAAGTCGCGAGAACTCAAACTATTTTGGCTCCAGAAGCAACAAATATTTCCATTTCAAGTCATCCATTGAAACACAAATTTGCATTGTAAATTCGCTAAAGTACTTCTGTAACTTAAACCAGAACATGTACTCAATTTTGTTGCTGCGGAGTAAAAGTACATTTGAATTCTCCTAATTGAAATTCAAACATACACTTAGACTAGAGTGACGAATGTTCAGTACTTTGAAAATTACTTAAACAATTTGATTATTTTAAAAACCACCTAAGAGAAATGGCAATATTTTGAGACCATATTGGAGGCTTATCCTATTGAAATATGAAAAAAATTCAAGAATAAGGGACCTTAGAAGACGAGTGAGAAAAGTATTCATCAGCATCAACATCGTAGCCATAACGCTCAAGCAAAATTCTTTTCTCCTCACTGGCCAACCCATTTTCGGATTCTACAAAATATAGAAGAAAGACAAGATTCCAGTCATCTTAGAACATGGAAATTGAATTTTGTTTTCCCCATGTGAGTGAAGTGGCAAAAACGAACTTACTAGTGTAAGAGACGGAGAGGGATGAAGAGGAGCGAGTGGTGGGTGTGGAGAAGAAGGTGAGAAGAGGATACGATGGTGGTGACCCGAAATCTGACTTAGTGTTGAGAAGCAATGGCGAGAGAGTTGGAGGAGACAAAACCGCCATTGTTAATGTTCGGAGAAAGAAGAACCAGAGGAGTTTGAAAAAAGGGGTTGAACAGAGATAAGTTTCAGCAACACTGAGGTACTATGATATCACGAATGTTTTTTCTAATTTTAATATTTATCATTTATTTTTTGTTATTTAATTTTTGACATCATTATTTTCAAAAATTCTAATTTTCCAAACAAAATTTAAGAAAATGAAATTTCAAGCGAGTAATTATTTCAATGAAAAACATGAAAGAACAAAAAACTTTCAAAAAAACCATTAATTTATCTTTCATTTCAAACTTTAAGATAAAGAATTACTATTCAAAAGCTTTAGCTAATAATTATTTTCTAAGTTTAAAATATAATATAATATTTCAACTTTAAATTATTTTCTTAATTCTAACTTCAAAATGTAGTTTTTAAACTCTAAATCTTTAATCGTAGTATTTTAGGTATTTTAGAATAATATACCTATTATATTAATTTTAAAAAATTTATCAAATATATTTTCATAATACTTAAATAAAATTCCCCTAAATAAACATTTGTTATAAACATTTGTTATAAACATTTTTAGTATAATTTAAAACAAAATCATTAAATGTCATAGACTTAGTTAGTATTTATAACTAGTTAATTATTTGATTTCATATAAATTTAAATGTTTTGAGAGAGAGATATTCTTAACTTAAATTTATAATAAAGTGGTTAGACATAAATTAATTCTAAAAAAACTTATGAGATGAGATTTGTATATTATTTATACAGTATAATTTATTTATTTTCATACTCGATATAGAATTTTAAACAAAATTTTTATTTTAGAGAAAAAATTTCAGTAATAAATCAATGTTTAACTTGTTTTTAAGTCTCCAGAGAAAATGTTCTTCCATTTCTTTATCTTAGATTTTCATTTTTTTTTATTCATTTGATTAAGAAAAATAGCTCAGGTCCTGCTAAGTGTTAAAAAATTATTTAAATTATAAAAAATATCTCATTATCGAATAAAAAATAATTAAATGTAAAATAAAAGTCTCAAATCTTCATTAGTGCATTAAAAAAAGGTAATATTGTGATAACAAAATCAAATAAAAATATCATTAACTATTATATTTATAACTATTAATATATATATATATATATATATATATATATATATATACAAATATTACATAATATTCGTTATATATAAATTTACAATTTTAAAAATATTGATGTTGGAAGAAATAGAGAAAATTAAAAGATTGGGTATAAATCTAAGAAAATATCGAAATATCAAATATTAAAGAAAAGATAAAATCTAAGCACTGAGAGTAGAAAAAGATTGAAAGTGGTAAAGTGTAGAAGAAAAAGAGAAAATGAAAAAAAATCAAATAATAAGATAAAGAAAATGAATAATATCAAGATAAAATTATAACATTAAAAATACAAAGTAGTTATATCTTTCAAATGATTCAATCCAAGTTATTAAAAATATTATGAATATTAGTTGAACATATAAGAAAGATAAAAGCTATTTGTTTAAATTAATTTAGTTTTATTTAATAGTTGTAGAAGGTAATGAGTATAAATAAAATTAAATAAATGTAAAAACGAGTTACAAATTTTTATTAAAAATTCATATTTTAAAAAATATTGTAAATAAGTAAACAAAATTGAATAAAGTTTATTGTGATTTGAATCATCTAGAGCAATTCCAACTGGAGTTATTTATGGTCCCAGTTGTTTATGGTCCAAGTTGTTTGTAAGCCACTGTGCTTATAAGAAACTACCGTTGGAACAATCGGACTTGACAGCAATAATTTGAAAAAAAATTAAGTATAGCATCTTGTAAAAATAATGTTCCCAAAAGTTATTTTTTCCTATTTTTTTAATTGTGGATCTTATTAAAATAAAAAATGGTAGTTGAACAATCCACCGTTTGAATAAATTTATAAAAAATTGAAAAAAGTTACTTAAATATGACGTGACACTGTAAGTCCCATTTAAGAACCCCCATTCCACATCATCTTATTTATTTTATCAATTTATTTTTTATCATTACTAATTTACATTTATTAGCAAATTATATTTTCAACTATTTAGTTTTCATAGTAATTTATATTCTCGTCAATTTTCCCTTTAAAACTTACCATTTTAATTTTAGTTTCTTATTTTCATAAATCTTTTTCATTTCAATAAGTTATATTGACTTATTAAATAATATTTAAATTCATAATTAATATTTAAATTTAGGTAAAAATAATATTATAAGTGTTTTTATTAAGTTAATACCTGAGAAATCAGTTTTAAAAATTAACTTTATTTTAAGTATTGAATAGAGGCTTGTGTTATTATCTTTTTAGATTCAATTAAAACACTGTGTAGATTAAAAAAATTATTATTTATTGTTTTAAATAAAAAGAACTTATAAATGATAATTGATTCATATCGAATATTTTTAGGACCAACAATACCTTATTATGTTATCCTTTTAATAATTGGTTTTTATTGTGTTTTTAATTATTTTTATAACTCTCCTTTTACACAATCTGTTGTGAATTTACTTTTAATAATTTATTTACTCATTCAATAATTAATTTTTTATAATTATAAAAATATGATACATAAGCATAATAATATTTATTGATATACTTAAAATTAGATTTCATCTACACTTAAAACATGAAGTGACGAAAATAATACTTCATTGATAGATAAATTTGACACAAATTACGAAATAAAACTCTTAGATCTTCTTTATTACATAATATATATATATATATATATATATATATATATATATATATATATATATATATATATGAAATTTGGATAATAGATTAAAGTTAAAACAAAAGTTCACATGGATACAAAAAAAATCATATATTGTTACTATATATAAAATTAAAACTGACATGTTACTCCAACTTTGGAAGAAATAATTGATATCCACATGATGTTTATGGCCAAACCCTAATAATTTAACTAATTGTTAGGTTTTAAATAAATGCCCATAATTTATGTCCACATTATATTTATAGCAGAAAAAAAATGTGTGGAAGTGATTCTGTGAAACTGATGGAATCAGTTAAACTAACATATCAATATCTGATTAAACTAGTTTAGAAAATTGTCTTAATTATTTTGTAAAGTTTAGGTTTTGATTATCTATAAAAATCACATTTATATATATATATATATATATATATATATATATATATACAAATACCATCAAAATAAAAATACCCTTTGAAAAAGTTTCACAAAAAAAAACCTTAAAAATAAAATATCCAATTTTACTTTCCATGATTTCAGCTTGATTAGATATTTGAAACACCAACAATGGAAAGTGATTGAGAAATCATTGAAGTGGATGAATCATCCACACACAGTAAATTGAGAAGAGCATGATTTGTTTTTTAAAAAAAAAAACTTTAAGTTAATAATGGTTGATATAATGGATTATGTAAAAGAAAGAGCGAAGCACCAAAAAAGAAGCAAAAACAAAAGTGAAGAAGAATTAGTTTGTGAAAAGTTTTGAAAATTGTTCACATCTTTGTAGGATAAGATTCCTTTCATGTTTTTGTGGCTAAGAATCAAATTGTTAACACCATTTAAAGTTAACAACCTTTATAAAACAATTTATCACATCATCTAATTATAAAATATTATATACAGTGTTTTCTTAAACTTATTTCAATATTTTAAATATAATATATAGAAAACTGGGTTAATTGAATAGTTGGAATATAATCACTTTTGAGATATTTTTTACATAGTATTTTTAAATGAAGAATATAAAAAAACATGATAGTATTTATTAATATTATTATTTGAAATTGAGTCATCATTTATTTTTATTTACGTTAACTATTGAAATAGATCAAATATTTTTTTAAAGAGAATAGAAATAACGACCAATGAAAACAAATTAAAAATAGATTTCAAAAACATTTTTTTAAAATAAAAAAACTAACTAAAATATACAAATAGTGTGAAACATGTTATTCAATTAAAAAATGGTATGTAGAATAAGCTTAATAATTTTTATAATAAGATTATTAAAATTTCAACACTTTCTTTAAAAAGTAAATCACATATAAAATTGTTTTTATATTGATAATTTTTTTATATTATTATATTAAAGTTAAACATAAATTCTAATTAATATAGTACAAAATGAAAAAAATATTGTATTTATTTATTTATAAAAAAGGCAAGTACATTAATAAACTGGTTGTAGTGTTATTCTACGTTAATTAATCAGAGTTTTCAAATTTAATTTTTTAAACATGCATCTGAATTACTTTTGGATAAAAAATTATTAATTTGAAATATTCATCAACTTTACTAAACAAAAAGATACATGTTTTTCTACGTTAAAAATAAATATTTTTCTAGTCTATAAATATTAATAAATAAATCAAATATTTCTATGTATTTTTATTATTTTTATATTTATGTTTAATTTAAATAAAAAATATGTATTATATTTAATATATTGCTTAAATTATATATATATATATATATATATATTAAGGATAAAAAAATATTTTAATTTATTTAAATTTTAAAATTAAGTTAAAATTTTCATATATTTTTAGAGAATATTTGATCAATACTTAAATATTTTTATTTATATAGTAATTTCTCCCCTCTTCGAACTTAACTATCTTTTTTATTTCGAAAGTATACCTCGAGAGCATATATTTCATTGATTGAGAGGCAAAATATATACAAGTGAATACACCGATCGTTACATAACATTAGGAGAGAAATAAGCTAAATCTCTAGAAATTAGGCAAGTATCTCTCCTATATTAAGTAAGTATCCCAATTTAAGCTAATTACAATATTTGACAATAATTACAATCATATCAGATTCTTGATTGTGTAACACTCCCCCTCAAGCTCAAGAACTAGGAAGGTACATGAGCTTGGAAATTAACTGAGTATGTGAAGCCGAAAGAAAAGCCTTTGTGAAGATATCTGCTAATTGCTGATTTGATGAGACAAATGTGGTTCGAAGTTT